GAAATTTGTTGCAAGATAATTAAAGTGACGTCATGAACATATGTTAGCCACTATAGTCTATTCATTTACAGCTGATCTAAGATAATGAATCATGGAGATAATTAATCGATCAATCGAAATCGATCTTTAAGAATATATCGCTAAGTAAGAATGGAGTTTTCTCAGTGATAAATTTGATCATGTCGACAAAAAAAGTATTCAAGATCTCTCTGAATTGTAGATTTTTCTTGGATCGAGATTCCTGCTTCGCATCGCATTTCGTATTCGAGTGAAACTTGAATACCATCTAGTTATGTTTTGTCTCTCTTCCACATAGATAAATATCAATTGATGAAAGATTCAGATTTTCAAGCTACACTTGGGAGATATGGAAACAGCTTTTTGCCACATGTTGTTGGAAAATAGTGATTCAAATAGGGACTGCAGAGGCGGGATTTGTAAAATATAGTCAAAAAGAAGAAACTATCCATGAATGAATGACTCTTAACGGAAACTGATCAAGTTTTGTTGATTGATATTCTTATCTAATGCACTCGTCATGCCTTCCACATGCAAACAAAGGGAGTAATCTTTTTTACAAATGTGTAATCCTACTTGAAGAAACAATTGTTTTTCCTTTCGAGTATCATGTTATTTGCATAAGAATACTTCATCCCAACAAGCAATGCTCTCATTCATTGAAAATAACACAGGTAAAGCATCACCAAATATCACTCACAAAATAATTTGATAAAATGTTAACCAACAACATCCATATATTTGAAGAAACAGGATACACAAAGAACGAAGCTGCTTATTCCCCCTTGAAAATGTATGTAGTCTTCCCCATTTCATAATGATATATATTTTGGCACGATTTTTGTGGCGAATGCTTTTCATTTCCTTATAGATTTATAGAAGAAAACATTCATGAAGACTATCCTTCTATTCTCATTTGTCTTCATATCTGCATGGACAATAACCAGCTACCTGGTGAATGGTTTTGTTCATGGTGAGTCAATCGGATTGATAAGCGAGTCGTATTTCGAAGAGACGCCTCCTGATCCTCCTATATATCCTCCAAGATGGACAGCAACTGCTCATTTCCAATTTTTCAATATGACGAATAATTCTCCTGCTGGCGCTGGTATCTTATACCAAGTAATTGATTCTATCAATCAAAAATTTCGAGCCGACGACATCTATTTTGCCGGAACATTTTCTTCTCCCTACGATACTCTTTTCGCCTCATCTGACCCTCTCAATGCATACCTATACTATGCCAGCGTTACACCAAATGGAATATCCTGTGTTGTATACCCAGGAAAACCAGTGACACTCTCACAAAATTGGATTGCAGAGTTATGTTCGTACAACTCGACATTATATTATCAGACAACCAAAGCTTATAGATGGAATTGTGCGACGGATGTTGTAACCTGGTTTATGGATACGGCAGCTGTTGATGGACGCCTCATTTATCAACATACACTCCCTCAACCATTGTTTGATGTCTATCAGGAGTTGTGGTGGACAAATTATACTATTGTTGCAGAAGAAATTGATCAATCAATCTTCATTCCACCAACAGGATGGAATTGTCCAAACTATGAAACTCCTCAATCCGTGTAGCATGCGTTTTCAATAGCACTCACATTTATTTCTATACTACTTTACTCTATTAACTACAATTATATTAAATAACTCATAAACCTATTATAAATTCCGTTTTATATTCGTAAATAAATAAATCCATTTAGTTTCAACCGCTTTGCCGAAAGATGACCGAATTAATTTTTCGTATGATAAACATTGGGTAAGGATGATGGTGTGGATGTGTGATTTAATCAAGGGAGGGATAGATTCACAGCTTCCATGACGATCGTTTCGGTCTTGGTAGAAGCCCTCATCTGATGGTTTAGAGGGACAACTGAATGTCCTCTATAAGTAGAAGTCAACAACGTTACATATTGACGACACTATTCATTCAACTATAGGGATACAGTTATTGAAAGTCCAAAAAGACTTCGTTCACATATACTGTATGTAAGAGATCGTAGTGTTTCACATTCTTCTATCAGGAAGAAGAATAAAATATCCAACAATAACTAATAGGTGAGCCTATCAAGAGAGATAGACTGCTATAGCTACCACGCAGATGTGGATATCAAGTTAACGATGACACAGATGTTGACCTTACTTAAGGTTCATCATCAGAAGGTTTGGGATTATGTTACATTTATTCGAATGGTCTGATTTGTATTCAAATAGACTGTCGTATGATTTAAATCAATAAGCAAATTAACAATATTGATAAAGCAAAAATACAATAAATACGTATATATGTAACGGTCAAGGTTAAGCGTAAGTACTATTTTGTCCTTACTCTATGTTTTATATTTATTTTGATGCCCTTGACATTTGTCTTTAACTTTCATCCTCTTTCGTTCTCTATGATGATTTATTATTTAGATATGTGCTTCATGTATAATTGGCGCGATTCATGATATGAAGTATATAGTTTCAGCAATGCAAGCATTTCTATCAGATATCGTTCCAATATGATTTAATAAGATTAGTTTTTCATTTAGTTTTTTTTGATTGAATGTTGTTTTTGTGTTTTAATATGATTTTAGAGTTTTTTTTTCGATAAATAAATAGGATATGGATGTGGTTGTGATTGTAAGTTTCTTTTTTTGAATAGCACTCATATTTGCAATCCACATCCATACTCTGTACTCGAATTAAAATCAGCTTTGCGGCAACGTGCGCTTCATTTGAAGTAAAAATTATTGAAAAAATCATTTTTCTTTGAAATTCAACTAAATTTCACAACAAGCATTTCTATCATGAGGTGCATAGAACAGTAAAACTTTACTATTGGCGAAGAATCGTACCCTTTAATATAGTTCATGGTCCGATTTGTTTGGACTCATATAAACATGACAGTTATATATTCATTCAGTTTTCATGTTGTACTGATTTTTTTATCTATTAAAGATTTTAGTGTTCAACAGCCATTATATCGTGTTGTTTCATTCACGTAATGTTCTCTTTCAGGAAAATGGAGCTGCATTCATTTTAATCTCATCAGAAGCTATCTTCAGTTTACATTATTGCTATAAAATCTTATCTATCTATTGGCCATAGTCACTTCAAATATTTCAGTCTCTGAATTTTATCGTGCTTTTGCTATGAAATATCTCAATTATGAGGCGACGAGGACAACATTTTGTAGGCAAGACGAAAAGTCTACAAAATCAATTGTTTGACGTGGATCTTCCTATTGATCGAAAAATATAAGTTATGCTGTAACAATTGACGTTTCCATTTGCACCCATAGGAACGGTATCATGGGCCATGCATTATTCAATACGGCCAACAGTGTTTAGTTTACATTTCTGTTTAACATGAATAACAAGGCTGGTACTATCATCAAATAAAAATGAATTCAAGAATAATTTGCAGAACGATCGACCATTCATCACTTCTTTCATCGAAGAAATATCAAACACTAGCTGAAATTGTTCTCTTAATTTGGCGAAATGTGTTCTTCATATATCTGAGATGGTTTTCTACAAACCATTGAACATCTGAAATCGGATCAATACCAAACTACTTATTACTATAATATAATCCGTAGATTAAACACAAAATATTCAGAGTAGCGAACGAAACAGCAGCAAGATCTGTATGAAGCCTCTAGTTTCTATTGATTATACATTCGGATATGACCGAAAGATTTTTTTCAGTAATCGATATTTATTCTATACTTTATTTCAAGCCCTCTGTGTATATAAATAGGAAAGAGTATATACTGAGCAATCAAAACGGAGACTTGATGCAGCCCAAAGTCGATTTTCCACCACACATAAGTCCACCAATGCATTGCCAAGCAGCCGTTCCACGTATGGCACATTCCAACATCTTGTGACTACATTTTAACGTAAAGGAAGTGCCCATACAAGCTACGAAAGGTGCCACAACCGGTCCTAAGATTGCCGTTGTTTTTGATACGACTACTGCCAATGCTTCTGACAGCATGCGTTCTTGAGGTATCAGTTTTTGACCAATATCCACATCGTTTGCTTTCAATGGCGATGCGCGTGCATTGGAGACTAATAAGAACGCTAAGACAGCAAAAATGCAGTAGCCTAGTAGCAAAAATATTATCCATTATTCGATCACAATATAATATTATCTTTGGATGCACTTACTTTTCATTGCAATGTGCCTTGTATCAAATTTGAAATGCAATTGGCAATTCGATGCAATATTTATAACAGCTTAAGAAACTCAATTAATAATAAGGCTTTGATTTGGTCCGAATACGGCAAAATGATATAGAATGCATTGGTAACATGAAAGCTATCGGCTTAAAAGTATTAGACATACAGAATCACTCAAGTAACACACAACCTCAGGAGCGAAAGTAAAGATAGTAAGACAGAAATCGTTTTGTTATTGATTATTTGTTGTTGGTTTCCATTGTTTCATTTCAACTACCCATTGAATTGCTCGTGTTAATAGTAGCTTTTTCTATCTATATCAAATACGACCTGAGGTCACACGAGCTCAATTTTGATTGTGTCGCACTGTGTCATGGTTGTCCTGCGTGCGACGTATATCGAGTGTTGGCGTACAGCTGAATAACATACTCATCAGCAGCCAAAGTCCCTTTTCCGCATCCACATCATGGATTTTCAAAACTATACATGGCTTCTGAAGATTCATTTAGATAATTATTCAAATTTAAAAAATCATGTTTAACCCTTTAACTACATGTTAGAAGACATAGTTACCAAGTTTATTTCAGTTGTTGATAATTGAAAAAGGTAATAAAGTCCTTTTACGACTCAATTGGTATCTTCTAGTAGATGAAGGCTTCAGAAAACAGAGAACAGTCGAAACGCTGAAAACTGACGCATTATTAAAGATTGTAAATGTCAAAATAAAACTCAAAGGAATCATAAAATAAGTAACTATCGATAACTGTATGACGCCAACTTCTCTATTCACTTATATGACTATTCGACTTCGCATCATCTTAAATCTCAATCTTCCATCATTTTAAATAATATTTATGACTATTTTATCACAAGATGATAAACAATGACAATATAATTTCTATAGAACAATTCGTATCTAAATAATGACGATTAAGATGTATGTATGTGAAGTGCGTGTGTGTGTGTGTGTAGCCTAGACTTTGATATATGGTGAAATTGTTGTGCGAGGCAATATATGCACCGAATTCGATTAGGGTCAAACTAAAAGCAAAGGTTTTGCACAAAAGCAGTTCGTATAGCATGATTTCTGATGTGACGCTTGGTAAGATAAACGCAAAAGGGACCTTTTGATAGTTGATGACGAACACAAACTAGCAAATTTTGGCTTCTCTATGGCAATCGAGGCATGAAAATTTCAAGTTTTCATAAAAGCTACGGGTATACATGAAAAACACAGACTGCTATTAAGTTTTTACATGGTGAAATAATATTTTCTTATGAATAATAAGGAGAGATTGTTTTTTTCATAGAGATAATAGTAATGAAATTGCGCTTTGAACGGGTGTGAGTTTCTAAAATCATAAAACACGCCGTACATCACTAACGGGAAAGCATATAATCGGCATACCCACATGCTTTTGTTGATTGCACTTAAAACTATCAATGTTTTGCTACACTAGTAGGTATCGAGATAATATATGCATATTGTGTTGCATGAAAATTGAACAAAATTCTTGTGAGGAATGCACACCGATTACACGATGATTATGGTTTCTTTCTTTGTTGAAAACTAAATAGCATTAATGTATAATCCATTGAATTTTATTCTCTATTCAGAAGAAAGGCTATATCTCAGAGTAGTTTTACTGCACTTAAGCACTGTTGTCAACGCAAAACAGTTCGCAATCAATATTGCAAGTTGGTTAGTTAAATTGCTATCGTAAATAATTTTCTTTTCTTATCAACATTTTTTTTTTGATAGGGATTACTGTTTCTGCTTGTAAAAGTGTTTGCAAGAGAGTGATGTAAAATGAAAACAGTTTCTCTTTCTTTTACACTCATAATATAACGATTCGAGCGAACAATGACGGTCTGTATAAAAAAAGAATATTACAACATTTTGATTTGCATTTTGAGAATCCAAAACATAGTCGTGCTCATTGTTGTTCCATACCCGAGATTATTGAAACTGCGAGTCTCAGTTGAACCTTTGTCTCGGTGAATTCCTATTTTGTGCTTAGTGACGAACCTTTTACTCGACTAGTACAAGGAAAAGTTTGTCGCGACAAACAAAATTGCCGTAGACGATTTGTTAAAGCCATAGTGTTCTTCTATTTAGTTTCAAAGAAGTACTGCGCAACCCAGTTTAGTTTAGTATCCAATAAATTCATAGGTCATGTAGCTATCAATACGAATTTATCCTTGCTCAATAGGTTATAAATTTTTGAATATATTGCGGATGAGATACTGAAATTTATCAATGTATTGAAGCCATAGAGTATTCATAATATCATTAAGTTTTTAAACTTCAATAGACATTATCTTATGTCATTTTGTAGTGAAAATCACATGTTCACTATTTGCATAATGATAAAATAAAAGATGAATAATGCAAAAATAGGTGATATGACTTGAGCTGTTAAATACCCAGGTCGAACATTCCGGTTCCGGAAACGGCCGGTTCTGTGGTATTCCCGAGATTTCATGGAAGCAGTATTCCGGTGAAAGGATCCGGTTCCGGCCGGAATCGACAGGAACCTGTCAAAGCTGGTAGCCGGATACGGTTTCCGGATTCCTGCATCGAATTCCGGACAATTCCCGGTGGGTTCCGGTCGGAAACAGCGAGTTTCTTGCAGGCTTTCGCCGGAAATTCACGGAATACTGCTTCAGGAATCATTGTCCCGGGTACGCGCGATTAGCCTAGCCCTATGATATTTAAAAAATTTAGAATGATTGCCAAGGTATATAGGATAGGTATCATGCTCCTCATAGGTCAGTATGCAATTACACAACCATACGAACTCTTTTGTTTTATATTGGTAATCAATTAGTTCGACTAAAAATTACTCAATATTTTCTCAGAATGACTTAGAAGTGCTACAAAGAATTAATTATGTCATATAGATACCCACGTATTAATAAAAATATTGTGTTTACTAGTGAAATGAATGTCCCATTTTGAATTATGCTTCTGTGTGAAAACGAGAATTATTCTATCTGGTCTAGCCTTACTTACTAAACAGAACATACTTTTCCACTGCATTTGACTCAACGAAAGCAAAAAATTCTCATATATTCGCTTATGTGGATTTTATGCGTTGCACTTTCGCCTCTCTGATTTGAATAAAACAGTACTACTAATGCTGCAAGCGGTAATTTGACAGTGATTTATGCAATCTATATTGTACTGTGAAATTGCCTACTATATTGTTCTGCCGCATTATTACTGCATATTTCAGTGTTTGCTGTATTGTTTTTTTTTGTAAATTTAGAACTATGCGTTCTAAACAAAAAAGGAATAATCATGAAGTAATTGCTAGAAAATCCATTTTAGATATTCAACTTATTAATTGCTTTATCTTGGTAATCAACGATTCATCTTCCAAACACAAAAAACAAGCATGAAGTTAACGATGCTCGAAGCATTCTTTGTGATGCTTATTATGGCACTGATGTTATTCGCCAATGTACACGCTGATATAGATAGCGCTTTTAGTATGTACCATTTGAGTCATTTGGCATGAAACATAGCTCACCTTTTCCTATCGTATTTCATAGAGATTCAAGAGAAGTTTAATGAATTTATGGTTCGTAACGAAGAGACACTATCAGATATCGATTCATCTAGTGAAACTATGAGCGATTATACGCCGATTCCAAATACTTATCTAGTAGAATTTGATCAAAATGCTCGTATCAGAAACTTCGAACAGGTTATTGGTGACTATTTGGAAAGGAACCGTGGAATTCCACGATCGGCTATCAGAATGCGGCAAATCATATCTTCATCATTATTTTCTGGAGCTTCGTTCTCAGTAAACGTTGAACACTCGGTCAAATCAATTGAATCTATCCCCAACGTTATATCGGTTTATCCAGTTTATTCTGTTTCCGGTCCGAAATATTTCAAACACTACGCATCATCTGCTATAAAAAGCAACGAGCGCGCAGCTTCTGCCATTGCACATGATTTGACCGGCGTCGCACAAGTTCATGATGAAATAAAAAACTTCGGGAAAGGTGTCCGAGTAAGTATTTCTCAAATGGTGATATCACTTTGTCGGGTAACCCTTAGATACGTTATGCTAGTTCCGCGTTCTTCACTCTCTTATAGTACGCGAATGGAACCGATTCTGGGAAATGCTTTATACTATCTTCCGGATAGTAAAAAAACTTTCAAAACATAACTGAATATTATTGAAGAGATATTTAATCACGAAGATTTTCTCCGAGACTATATAATACAAATTTAGAACATACTAGTTTCACTTGTCCTATTCCAGACGATGTCACAAAAACATTTGTAGCATCGGTTTTTGACCATAGCTCACGCGGAACATAAATCATGGCTTCTTATCTATGTCAAATAAATAAATAAAAATAGCTTCACCGTCATTTTGAAGATAAATGACAGAATTGAAAAAGTTTTATTCAATGAATTTTAATCGAAAAATACGTGAAACTACCACCAGTTCATCTATAACATTCTTTGTGATTTTTAGGTTGCTGTGATTGATACTGGCATTGATTATTTGCATCCAGCTTTAGGAGGTTGTTTTGGGCCCACTTGTAAAGTTGCATTTGGCTATGGTGAAAAACCATTTCTTATTTTTACACTCTAGAACCAAGCTGGATCATTTGAATATTTCTAGACTTGGTTGGAGATGGATATAGTTCAGCTAATCCGAATCCAGTGCCCGATGACGATCCACTCGATAACTGCTCTGCTGGATCGCATGGTATTTAGTCATAGTCTACCTGAATCATGTGAGATTGTCCAATTATAACTTATATTTTAATTTTAGGTACTCATGTTGCTGGAATTGTTGCTGCTAATGCTACGGCCATTTCTCAAACAGGCTTCACTCCTATTGTACCCTTCGTCGGTGTTGCTCCTCAAGCAATACTCGGTGCATGTCAGTTCGAATACTTTCTTTTATTATCAGTAGCTCATATCAATCCCTATGATTTCATTCTATAGATCGCATATTTGGATGTAATGCAGATTCAACTGGCACAGGCACGTACTCTCATGAATAAAACTACGTTTCTAAAATATTATTTACCATAAAAAAATGTGTTTTTGAACGTATTTGTAGACATGATCACTGCAGCAATTTATCTTGCTTTCGACCAGAAGGCAGATATAAGTGAGTCATTGCAATTTTTACATCTGAAAATAAATATGCTGTCGATTGGACCACTATGAAATTTCTCGTTCCAACTGTTTTATGTAACTGTTTAAAGATTTTCTAGGCAATTCGAAACGGCTTTTTATGCGGTTATATTGCTTTTTAACACGTTTCAATCTTACCACAGATACTTCATCTTTCATAATTCCATATTCATATAATTCAAGAATGAAGCCAATAGGAAGAAAATAATTTATGACTTTATTGAATTTCGTTTTAAATTTTCTCTCTGAAATAAAAAAAAACGGCTAAGTCATGTTGCGCAATTTTATTGTGCTATATTTTAGTTACGATGTCCGTCGGAGGCCCAGGTTCATTTGCAGAGACATCCGATGCAATAGCTGCTCAGCGTGTAACAGATAAGGGAGGTAATCATTTTTGTTTCGATACAGAAACATTTTGATATTTTCCATTTCTTTCATTAGTCTATTTCACAATTTCACAAGGCAATGATGGCGCTCAAGGTCTGCAAACGGGTGGAAATCCAGCTATTTCTTCTGGTGCCATGGCAGTAGCTTCTGTTGACAACTCTAATGTGCCTCAGCTTTACTTTATTACACCTGATGGGAAAGAAATTTTCTATTCTGCCGGAAATAGCTTTGGCGGATGGCAATCTAATGTGAATTCGATCATTGTTGTCAACGGTACTTCTTTAGTCTACTAATTAAACATTGACACATGCTTTTCCTCTTACGACTAGATCGACAAGCTACAGTAAATGATGGATGTAGTGATCCAGTCAAACCTGTCACGGGCGCTGTTGTTTTGTATTCGTATAATCCAGCAGATACATGTAACTCAGCTGTTAGATGCGATAAAGCAGCTGACGCTGGTGCCAGTGGCTGTCTTATATACAATGTTGGTGCTATCACAGGTTTTATTTTACTTTCTGCTCCATTTTTCATATCTATTCGAGTTCATCTGACAGGATCGTCGAAGATTCCCAGTGGAAGCATCAGCTTGGCTGATGGCCAACGTATTCTTGCAATAACGGCACAAAATGCATCAGCTCTATTTTCATTTACTAACAGGCTGGGTTTTGCTTCTATCGTAAGTTAATATAGATCTATTATGGTATCAGTTCATGCATTGAAAGAATATTTTAAGACTGATCTCTCTCAATCAAATAACTATAATCTTGATACTATAGAAATAACGTAATAGTTGAACTGCAGTTCTAGGTTTTTTTTCGTGGCAGTTTTACAATCTATTGGACATCTAAATTATGTACGAAAACGTCTATGAAAGCAGTTAATGAAAAATTCATCATTTTAGTATAGCCATGTAATTGTTCTCTGACTAATTAGTCAATATGTCTCACAAATAAAAATAAACATTTAAATAACAAAAGATATCCAATATAATGATTAAAGACATTAATAATTGCTATTGTATATGGCTTAGCCATAGAACTTGCAAGTATATTGTCTTCTTTTTATTGATATTCAGGCAACAGCTGGGACACTGTCTTCGTTCAGTGCGTTTGGTCCCACGGGTGATCTTCTATTTAAACCTCAAATAACTGGTATTGGTGGTTTTGTTTATTCGACTATATCATCATATGCTGCCGCACAACAAAAGATGAGTGATGCATATGCTGCTTACTCTGGTACAAGTATGGCTTGTCCTTATCTTGCTGGGTATGTGTAGATTTGTTGTTATTACGCAGTTGTTCTACAAAGAATTTTTGATAATTTCAAAAAAAAATTTAAATGATATCTGCATAGCATTGAAAATATCAAAACTGTTCTTTTTTATAAGAAGAATAATTTTAATGAACTGAAAATCATTGAAAATACTTCTCGATGTCTGAAATAAGATGCGTACTAAACAAGCTTGAACTGACTGCAATCATGCGAGCAACTTTTCGTACCCCCTTAAGAAATATGCACATTGTTTGATGAAAAAAACTCACAGCATTAATTGAAGATGAGAGTGTTTACTTGCAAATGCCTCGAACATCTAGGAATTTTTTAGCGTCATTTAATAGAATTTTTCATATTCAGATGACCTAATAAAAAGAATATGTGATGAATTCACACATGGCTCGATCCCTATGCGAATTAACTGTCGAATCAAGTTTCCGTCAGAATTAGTCGATGTTAGGCTGAGAAATATTCCTTCAAAATTTTCAAGTATTTTATAGAAAAATAGATTTGAACTATATTCGTAAGTAGTACTAAGTAAATAATTATTAATAAATCATAAATAATGTTGAATCTTCATGATAACATGCATTCGATTTCATCGAATAAATACAATCATTCTATAATTCATCCGATTACTTTTCTTTTTGAAGAACATTGGCACTTTTCCTTGCACAAATTGGTAATCCTGGTCCAGAAACAGTTGGCAATAATTCGACAAATACAACTCGCCGCCCATCGTTCTCAGAAGTCCGCAACTTATTTCAATCAAATGCTAAACCAGTGAATATATATGGTACACAGATGCTTGCAACGATTGTTAGACAAGGAGCCGGTTTAGTCAATGTTTTTCAAGCTTTAACAGCTAACACGATCATTTCACCGAGTGAACTTGCCTTGAACGATACGCTTAGACAAGAAAAATCGTACACAATCAAAGTGTCAAATATCGGTAAAAAAACAGCTTGGTACAAGATAAGTCATCGCGGAGCTGCACTAGCTACTGGAGCTCAACCAGAAAGCGATCAACTTCTACCCACACCAGTATATAGTAGTGATTATGCTGTGAGTACTGCGCTTTTAGCTTACATCGAATTGAAAGTATCTGACTCCGAGGGAAAATAATAAAATCTTACTGCATAATAATTTTCTGAATATATAGGAGAATCGAGTTGAATTCGTATTGTTTCGTTTTGAATAACTATGGGATAAAAAACATTATTCTGAAATATTTGCTATTCTACTACTTACTATTGTACTATAAGATTATAGTCAACAGATGAGCATGGATAATACATGATGGACACTGAGTAACGAATCGACATCCAATGTTCTAAATATCCGCACTGTTGAAACAAGTAACTGAAGACATTGTGACGGATTTTGAAGCAATGAAAAACATTTTCGTATGTTACACTGTTCAGGCATCATTTATATTATTGATAGTTGTTTTTGAAACACAATCAGTTGTTGGGGGAGTTTAACGCCTATCTTTCAAATCTTGAGTTCATACATAGATGCTGCAAATAAATGGGTGCATTTAGTATATTTAGAAAACTATATCTGTCAGAAGACAAATTCAAATATTGAAATTGTCTTCGGACGAATGAAGCCATTCCTTTTCAATGAATAGCATTTATTTGTAAAAGGTGAAGCTGAATTTCCGCCATTTACTTCTTTCCTGTTCGATTGTGTCTATTCTATTTCAATCGTACTATTAAGTCTTTGTTCTTGTACTATTAAAGGATGTTTTTATTTGGCCATCAAGTTTCAAACTTCAACCAGGAGAATCATTTATTGTCACTCTACGATTTCGAGCTCCTCTCACAGCTCGACCAGAGCTTCTTCCGATTTTCTCCGGCTTTATCACCGTTTCGAATTATGTTGATGGCAAAGTATCTCATGTTCCATGTAAGTTTATATCTACATTACTCTTGTTCTATTTATTTTTGTACAAAATACCCGTCACGTACATAGATGCTGGTGTTGTGGGTGATTATAAAAATGCAAAAATTTTAGTTCGCAGGAGTCCATTGGGTGTCGGAACAGGACTATATACTGCAAATGGTTTGATGATCTCGAATGGGCAAAATATGAATTTTACTACTTCCACTGGGCATCTAGTCATATTGACTATAGCTTGGACAACACGTGTTATTTTCATCGAGGTTGTTTCAGCAGAAGAAAGCACTCATTACGCTGCTGATCAGAGGTAAATTATTCTCCGGTTTTCACTAATAGAGAGATGTGTCTGTTTCACACATATATTCAGCTATATTATGATAAATTGATTCCAGAACAGATAAAAATATCGGCTCTTGAAATTGTTTTTCGAAAGAACATGAAATCAAAATGATTGACTAACCTTTAACGTTTATAAATACTTGCGATAGATTTCTGAGATTAAAAATTCATTTCTCAACATGACGATATTCATATGTTTAGGCAATTTCATAGCATTCAAACTTTAAAATATTTTAATGAAACGTACGAATTGATCAAACGATGTTTGTCAGTGTCGTCTAAATGAAATATTATCATATTCAGCAAAAAATAGAACATATGAAATTTTTAAAGGTTTCAGCTAAAGATAGATTCTTCATCAATGCATATAGTTGTAATCGCATGTAGAATTTTAACAGTTACCTATTCATTTCTAGATCTATATAATATAGCACTTTTCTAGTCGAGTTTCTTTGATTAAGTATTTATCATTTGCTCACATCTTGATATATATGATACTCTGTTTACTTTACAGCCTCGGTATGGTTTACGGTGGTCCAGGAACAGGTCCACTCTACTTTTATAATGTACCGAAAAATGGTGCTACACTTACAGGTCAAGGGTACAGACCATACTACGGCTTTGCATGGACTGGCTACGTTGTTAAAATAGATCCAGATCAAGAAAACACATTTAACGCGACTAGACTTCTTCCTGGTCAATACAAACTTCGATTTTCGGCTCTCAAACATTTTGGAGATCGTAATAATAACAACGATTACGACGTACACTATACACCAATGTTCCATGTGGTGTATTAGATTACAAAAGACATGTCGACTTTAATTCTTTTAATACTCGCTCCTACTTTTTTCATGTTCTTGAAAGTTATGCAAAAGCATTGTTAGTCTTGATGCTGACCCTGTCAAGGGGCTATGCATGTGTCAAAGCTACCACAATTAATTAGCAATTTCGATGCCGTTGAAAATGCTCGTTTTAGAGTGTAGGTGTAGAACCTGTATGCATCTTACACACACCCACATCTTATTCTGCAGAACTCTATCCTAGTTCCAAATCTATCAGCACCCATGATTTTTTGAAACGCTGGATAATATCCCAGGCCCATCATTCACGCCACCTGAAAGATAGCAGTAAACTGCTTTAAACAGCGTAATCAATGCCCTAAATGATGGAAAACGACCGCCGTTTTTCACAGTTTTCCATTAGCTCTGATTACAGATCGTTTTTTTCCGGAACATTAACGGCGTCGTTTAAGACTATTTCGAATAACAAAGACCGAGTGATAAAAAGGATTCCATTTCACCCTTTATCATCTCAATTTCGTCGTTTTTCATCATTAAAAATGAGTGTTACGTTTGTCATTTATATTTTATTTCTCAAAGTACAAGAGATGTAAAACGGTAAAAAACCGCTCACCTTAGAAAGGACTCGCTTCTGACAGCACGGAAAATGTCACCTAAAAGGTCCCCGTTTTTCGCCGTATCAAATCGTTTTCCGGTGCTTTGTTGATGGCTGTAGAGCAGTGTATAATACGAAAAGAGCTGAATATTCAGTCAAGGGTTAAGCGAATCACATGGACGACTGCTGTTTATATTAAAAATGAAAATATAGGTGCAATAAGTGTGAAAATGAGTATGATGTGCATCAGAAACGAAACATGTTTGCTTAGTTATCGAGTATAAAAGGAATAAGAAAAAGATAATAATATATATATATGTATGTCTTGCTTATTTTTATGTTCTTTGACGAAGAAAAAGAATGGTGCCACTGATTGATTTCTTTATTTGAAAGACACTCATGGACAATTCACTAAAATTTTAGAAATAAAACAAAAATCAATTTTAACTGTATTTTTAAGTATTATTGTTTTAATCAATAATAAATCTTACCATTTCGTCAGACATTAATAAAATCATGTGATTGAGAATATGATACCGATGGAAGAAAAGTTTTTTCTGGTGCATCCATCATAAATAGACGTCGAATACCCAAAACTTTCTCAGAATCAATAAATAATGAATTCTTTTTAATTGTTAAGTCTTGTTCTAGACTTGATTTAGAACGTAATAAATGTTGTACAGCATTTTCCTCTTGACGTAACTTGCTGAGAAGATCAGCAATAGCCGCATGTAAACCATAAACTTCTTGAATTAATCTATATATACAAGAAAATATATTGAATTTTGTTTCTTTTTTTCTCTCTATATTAGAATGCAACAGCGAAAGTGAATTATCGGTACATCTTCATCGGTTCTCCCCTAATTTCTCTATCAACCTGTGCATAGCAGGATCTCGGCATGCTTCAATATTTGGTCGTCTAGTACGTGTTGCTAGACGTGTTTGAGCTACTTGTAAAAATGCTTCTTGATCAGCAATCGTTTTCTTCAAAAATTTAATACTTTGCTTAACATCGCAGATTTCTTGAAGAATCTAAAAAAAGGAATTTGAACATATATTAATTTTTATTGCAAGCAGTGATGAAAGAAACCTTTTCAAGATGAACTTCAATTTTATTTTTTGCTGCTTGTTCTTCTTGTACACGATTTTCAAGTGAAATATTAGCATGGTTCCATTGTGACCACATATCATTGTAAATTGTTGTCATAAGTTGCTTACAAGCATCAAGTAATTCATCTGATTGGGAAATTTCATTAAGTGCTCGGCAAACATTTTCTTTTGTATATTTTGCCCATGATTCAGGTACCGATACACTATGAAAAATATTCGCATAAAAGACCAATTAAATATATATATAGTCAATTTTTGGCATGTTTTCGCTGGTCCATATTGACTTGTCTCGTACTAATCACTATTTCCCAGCTATAGGGTGCTTCGATACAATGAGATACTCTTTTAATGGAAGGGCTCACGGTGTTCTATAAGAAAAGCAACGTTGTTGAGCAATACTCGATCTAGACCAAATCTTAGAGTACTTTCATGATGCTCAAAAACCACTGAGTTCACCATTCAAATACTCGGCAGTGTCAAAATTCGTTAGATAGTTCTCGAAAGCTAAATTAAAATACCTATTTAATCATGTAAAACTTTTCATAGAAGCAAACATTTTATCTCAATAATAATTATGCTATTACTTGTGTTTTTCTGACTTTGAATATTAAAATACATAAGTTAAATACTCTAATAAATTCAAGCTTACGTATTATCCACAAGTTCAATGTCCTCGTAAAAGCTAATACCATTTGATTTTGTTTCAATATTATGAGCAGCTGAATCAAGTGCACGAGCACGATATTTATCTTTTACATCACGTTCTAATTCGTGTAATGAAGCATGATTACGACTGGAAAAAACTTCAGATTATAAGTATTTAATCTATTATGGTAGTGAACACTTACGCATTTTGGATACTAAGACATCCAAGCATTTTTCGAAGGTTATCTTGAGATAATTGAATTCTATCAACTTCCTATATAAAGTTTTTAATTCAATTTTTTACTCATCATGAAAACTTACTCGAATAAGTTCTTGTTCCGCATTATCATGCACAAGATCAATACCTAAATAAAAATTATTTCTTATTTTCATTTATTCAAACAGCAATAGATTAAAAGATAAAACCTTGACGCTTTTCGCGTTCATATAAATTTTCTTGTGTTATACGTAACGGATTTTCTATTTCAGATAATACTCGTTCCAATTCGCGTCGTTTAAATTGAACATCATCTATTTTACGTGTCATTTTGTCTTTTGTTCTTTCTAATTCATTTTTCCAATATTCAATATTTTGTATACTTTCAGCTAGGCATTTTGATGATTCAAAATTATTTTTTACTGCTTGTTCATCTTTCTGATGTGCTAACCATATTGCATCTGAACGTAAGCGTTCCGATTCAGCAAGAATTTTATCCGATGCTAAATAATTAGTCGTTTGAGCATCATGCCAATCTTTTGGTGTATAACGCACATAAAGAGTTGGGCGATCTAATAGACATATTGATGGCATTTTAACACTATCGACATGATTTAAATCATTTGTTGAACTGAACGGTTGTGCTATTGATACATCTAATGATTCTGTTGGTTCAATGTGTGCTGTTCGGTAATATACTGTTGGACACCTTGAAATAGAAAGTGACCGAGTAAGTATATTGGAATATGGTGAAGTAGATGATGTTCGATTATCAAATATGCCCATAGATGGTAAAATGCTGCTTTGTTGTGATTGACGGCTCATACGTGTGGATTGAGCTGTTACTTTGGAATCCATAAAATCCAAGCTTGAACTACTAAATGAATGAGCGCTTACTATGAAAAAAAGAAATGATTCAACGTTGGTTTTTCCCTGAATTTTTTTTTAATCAGTAAAATATTTTAATCGAAAATAATTTTTCAATCTTTTATTATGGGAATAAATTGAATGCTCAGTTTTATCTGAAGGGTGGTCAAAAACTTCTCGAGCATCTCTACACATCTCTACGCCATATATTCGAGATAATCCTTGTGGTATTGCATGGAGTGTGAGCATTTTTACTTTTGAAGAAAGTAACATCCATTGAATTGATCCCTAGATTATTACCCCCGATAGATTATTTTAATTACCAATTATGTAATCTATCTTGAATGTATCTCAACAACTAAGAGTCTCGAAGTCTAGTTTCAGATGAGTACGCTTAGCAAGCATTCACTTCATCGCTCTCATTTTTAAATGAATCATGACATTATTTTACATTCTGCTAAAAAATTCATGATGAAAAGTAGGTTTGGTCGGTAAAACTTATTATTTGTGAATTAAAAAATTGATCACTAATATAGATTGAATTATCATGGACTATAGAAAACACATCCTATTTATTGATATATTCTTTAAATCGATCAATTGTTTCTTGATGAACTAAGTTGCAATAATGATTTTAATCCAATGCTGCGACAGCTCGTCTATTTTTAATCACCACTACGAGTAGGATAGAAAATCTGTTCATCATTTAGAAACTTCTCGAAATCTATGAGTGCTGAAGAACTATTGATATCCAAGCAATAATTAAAGAGGTTAATTCGCATACCTATTGTTTTCTTCAAATGCATATCTAAAGAGTAAGTTGCTAGGATGAGGCGATTCATGGAATATTACAACAACTACTGCAAATAATATGCTGTACAGAGAGATGAATGCAATGTCGTTCTTCTACAAAGATATAGCGAAGTTCGAGACATTTTTGATCACCGTACACAAATTATTAGCATAGAATTTCATATTCAGCAATTATCATGTTTTCTCGGCTATTTAGTAATTTATTTAACATGAAAATTTAAGTATCAGTAACTAATTAATTTGGCTCGCTAAACAAATACTATTTTTATCAGTAATTGAATAGTTTTTACTTTTTATAGAACAATAGAGCACAAGTTGATATTGCAAATATTGAAGTTAATTTTGAACGTAAGCTCAGTTGATTCAATGGCAATAATTACCGATGATAAAAGAATAAGAGAGAATATGTAATGATAAAAAGAAATATACTACAACACGAAAATAGTCCAACGAACGAAACTAAATAATTAGTATATAACATACGAGTGCCAAGCAGACAATACCAACGCTTGATGTGTTTTATTTGATAGAGAAACAGACAATATTTAATTATTCATGTGCTAGGAGAAATCCTTGGCAGATAGTAAATTCAATAATATTTACTATTGTATACAGTCTAACATAAATTTGTGGTAAATATAGAACGAGCAAATAGAAATAAAATGGAATTTAAAACAATTCCATAGATGTTTTTTTGTATTTTAAATTCCACTTTATTTCTATTTGCTGGTTCTATATTTACTACCAATGTACGTTAGACTGTATGCAATAGTCGGATTTCTCTGTTAAATGAAACACATCAAATATTGTCTTTTTCTGTTCCAGGTACTTCCCATGTAAATATTTTCAATCTAAACGCATCTGAATTGCATTTCGTTTGGGTCACAATCACAGCAATCAAAAGCATCTAGGGTCAAAACGACAATGTCGTAATCTGTCTCAGGTTTGATCCGAGTCGCCGTCGATATCTTCTAACGACGGTTTTTCCCTCATTGAATGCAAACAAAATGTTGATGTATATAAGGAGGTGTCATGAGGACTTTATGCTCACACCCTTTTCGAATCCATATCGATCTCGAAAAAAGAAAATGCAGATAACGATTGAAAAGAGACAAAATCCAAAGATTTAAATGAAATGCAGAACACTGTTTTTTGCACTTCTCAGTACAAGATTTCCCCAGTGTGGAGTTCTTAGTGAATGAGTTTTTTGCCATGAGAAAAACGTCAAGTTGCATTTCAATTTCATTCAGTCTTATCGAGCATTTATAGTTTACTTGTAATCTTAGAATAGAAAATATTAGGTGCTTCGCACTTTCTTTAATATTTTTCAGTTAGTCGATACTATTCCAGTTCAATGTTAATAATATTGATTTTTTACGTTGTTATTAACAATGAAATTCTTAGATTTGCTCGCGTAGAGAAAATGTCTCACATATATAATCTATCTTTTATGCTACATTCATCTAGCTACAATTGTTATATGAAAATTTTTACATTTTCAATAACTAAACACAGTTTGAAGGTATTTCTAGATAACTTAAACAAGAAAATTTTGCGGCGAAGAATAATTTATAACATGTTGAGATAAAAAAACAACACCTATATTCTTTCTCGATAGATAAGATTTTTGTCAGCTATTAGCAGATTGGTTGACTTGAATGCAGCAAAGAAAAATATATTCGCCTAACAGTGCTGATGTCATTTTGAAATTCACAAGAACGCATCCTCTTAAAAATGGGCGCATTCGAATTAGCTTCACTACTTTTTCTTATTTCTACTTCATGCAGTAAGTATTCGAAATAGACATGCATTTTAACATGGTAAAAAAATCGTGAAATAATAGGTAATGGCTTACCCCGCTTTGCCAATTATATTCAAGATCATATGGTACTGCAAAGAGCTCCACAGACTGCTGTTATTTGGGGGTTTGGTGGATCAGCTAAATTAACAACGCTTCATATGAATAATAAAATATATTCAACCATTAGCCGAACAGAACGAGCAAATGATTTAGGTGAAAGTATTTGGTCGATAACACTAGAGCCAATTTCTGATGAAGGCCCCTATGATATTCATGTCATGCAATCATTAGCTAATAATACAGTTTACACCATGACACTTCATGATGTATTATTTGGTGATGTATGGATATGTTCAGGGCAATCAAATATGCAAATGGCAGTAATAGATATTTTTAATGCAACAGAAGAAATTAATAATGCTGGAAAATATCCTAAAATTCGAATATTTACTGCTGCATTGAGAGCATCCGACATGCCTATAGAAGAATTAATCGATATTGTTGAAAATTGGTCTGTTGCATCACCTCAAAGTGTCGGTGGGCCATCTTTTCATTATATGTCAGCTGTATGTTGGCTTTATGGTCGTATGATTCATGAAGCATTAGGTGGTCGACCTATTGGACTTATAGCAACTAGCTGGGGTGGTACATTTATTGAATATTGGATGCCTCCATCAGCGTTACATGAGTGTGGTATTTCACTGTGAGTTTGAAAAGGAGTTTATATTCATGTTAAATTTTTACATTTACATAAGAAATGCGGTGGCGCCATTACAACTTCAAGATCAACATCTCGACGCGTTATCACCTAATAATACTAAATTATTCAATTCTATGATATATCCATTTATGCGTATAGTCATTTACGGTGTTATTTGGTATCAAGGTAATAAGAAACAAAAATGAAAAATAATATCTTTGATTGAATCGTATAATCACTAAGGTGAATCCAATATTCTCTATAATCCGGATAAATATGCTTGTACATTTGCAAAATTGATTCAATACTGGAGACAAATATGGAATGAACGTACAAATGGCTTAACAGATCTACAATTTCCATTTGGTTTTGTGCAAGTAATTGTCTTCTGTATTCTATAGATAGATAAAAATCATCCATGTACAATAATTATCTAGATATCAACATGGTCGAATACAAGTACAACAGTTGGTCTCTTTCCAGTAATTCGATGGCATCAAACATTTGATATTGGCTATGTACCAAATAATGTCGTGCCTAAAGTATTTATGGCTGTTTCATTAGACTTACGCGACGATCCGAATGGGTAAATTAAACTAATGAATATGTTTTTGCATGAATATATATATTTGCTTTTGTTTGTTTTCAGTATCCATCCCCGAACTAAACATGATGTAGGCTACCGACTATCACGTTCAGGTCTTGCTATTGCTTATAATCAATCAGTCGAATTTCAAGGTCCTATTGTATCAAATGTAGATTATTCTACAGGTAGTAAAAATGTTAATATCACTTATACTGGCGTAAAAAATATTGATTTACGAAATCCAAATGGATTCGAAGTTTGTTGTCAAAGTTCTAAATGTATAAATGATACATTATGGGTACCAGCAACTATATCCAGTAAAATTAATTTAACTATTACATTAACTATATCAAGTTCGTGTGTTGGACAACAACTATTTGGTCTTCGCTATTTATGGCGGGAAACACCGTGTCCATTTAAACAAGCAGCACTTTATAGTTATGACGACCCCAATTTACCTTCTCCACCTTACATTAAATATTTCTAAGAGCTATGAAATAACTGTGCATTTACTATAGAGTTAAAAATTATATTATAATTCGATTTATAAAATAGTCTTTCCTAGTAAAGTTTCATACAAAACTAAATCGAAAAAGAATTTACTTGAAGCGAAACTAAAACTATCGAATATAATTAAATTGACGCAAAAAATACTAGGGTGTGAGTGTGGATGTCGATCTTCCCGGCAACTTCATTGCAATACGCACGCCCTAACAAGCATCCCCATAACAGTTTTCACCGTTGAAAAAGTCAACTTTTTTTTCAAAATTTTACACGTTCTCTTCAAGATTTTGTTGAAAAAATGTCTTTGCATCCTACCCCACTCAACTTTGTGGGGCTCGAGACAGCTCTGGTAGGAATCAAAAAAAACCGATGACGAACACAACAAATTATTTCTTCGTTTTATTTGATATTTTATCCTTTGTATATATTCATTTGCTTGTTACTTCTTACTCCATTATCATTTCAAAGAAGTTGCAACATCAATATCTTCACGAAATATTAAATTCAATGCAATGAGTGACAAACCGGATGATGAAATCGATCCTCAACCAGCTGATTTATTAAAAGATTCAACATTAAATTCGATTGATGATAACAGTCAATTTAAATATGATGATGAGTCGCAAAGGCTTTCTTGTGTTGGTTCGCATTTTGATGATATTCCACCAAGTATTATTGAAGAATTTTCATGTAAAACAAACGTAAATAGAATATGAAAACAAAAATAATTTTATTTGAACTTCTTCTCGATGAAAATGATTTAAATGATCCTCATACATGTTTTCCAAAATGACCTAATTTACATACATTTATGCTAAATAAAAATCATCTACAAGATGTAAATAAATTAGTTGATCAATTACGTCATACATTTCCAATGCTTTCACATCTATCGATATTAGGCAATGAAGTATGCCCATATTGAATCATTGCAACTGATTCAACATCATCTAATAATACAGATCTTAGTACAATTGCGCAAAATCGTCTTGATGAAGAACACGAACGTTATATTGCAACATAACTAGGTGATCAACTTTATTCAATAGACGAGCCAGTTGATGGAGAAAAATATAATGAAAATAGCTATTTTACACCATTGCCACTAGATACAAATAGCAGTAGCCATGCAGAATTTGTTAAAAAGCCTACAAAAAAAATATAGTGGTGGCAACAGCGAAGGAAATATACATATTCGCGACCCACTTTTATGATTAAATCTGTTGTCAAGAGGCTCTCTATGTATTTTATTTGTTTTTTGTTTTTGCGATAAGAACGTTATTTGTTGGAATTTTGAATAATATCAATATCATAAAAATCATGCATAACCTTATCACTTTCAGAAGTATACAATGAAAGAAGAAGGAAAATGTTCTCAAAGTAAATGAGATGTCCGAAAGATCTGATGATAGATATGCCGAAGGAAAAACTTTGAAAACGACATTTAAAAATGAGAAGTTTGTTTACATCGACTATCATATTCTACAGTAGTCTGAAGAAGTCCTGAGAGTTTGTGTGTTTTTAACATTGTAAAATGCTCTCAAGCTCGTTACGATGCGTTTGGACTATTTCTTTTAAGTATTTATAATCTAGCAAATAATTAAGAGTTATTTAAATATTTTTGACAAACATAAATATCAGATATTTTCAACCAGCTAAGCAACTGTCGATTCGTCTTAGAACAGTGACTAATGATACAAAAATCATATAATTCTATTGGTCTTGTTAATTCAAACTATTCTAGTAATTACATACTTATATTACGTAGAATATGAAATGAAACAATGGCCTCCATCATAAAAGCAAATGCTGAATGATTCGAAAATATTTCTGTCTAGATAAATCAGCAATGCATGTTGTTAATTACAAATCATTAAAAATACAGAATGCCCATAGCTGCACGAAAAAACGTTTGTGAAGTTATCATGAAATTTTCAAAAACGTCACATTGATGCGTGGTCTGATGATTGCAAGACAAAATGATGTTTGACATGCACAGGACTTTGATTGAATAAATTTTCTACAGAATATTCTTTGACTTTTTCTATTTCTTACTCTTTTAAGGTGGCTTGCGTTTTTCTCAAAATGAATTTCAGATTACGAGCTTCACCAGACTACTTCGAATGCTTTCATTTGGTAAGTCAATTCTCTGTTTGAGATGATTGTATAATAGCCATCAAAGTTATAACCAGCTCAAGAAAGACTCCATTCTAATTTTTAGACTGCTCTTTCTCTACTAAATCCACTCGTTATTGAAATACTCTACAGCAAATACGAGAATATATATGGCATATACAGATTCAAATCATGTAAAGTCATTTGCCAGTCCCATCTATTGATATTTTTATGCCACGTGACCAACAATGTGACTTTCAATTGTATTGAGTGCAAAAAGAATTATCTTGTTTTTCTTATTGTAGATGTATATGTGAAATTATTCATTGAATATTTCTCATCTAGTTTTGATTTATTATTCACGAAAGGAAAAAAAAAGAGAATTCTGAGTTAAGACAGACAAATAATATATAGAGAGAGAAAACAATAATTCTTTGTTATATTGAAATGATCAATGAGCCTTATTCCCATTTCGATTTTTGGCCACAGATCAAAGAAAAGATACCGCCAGCTGAAAGAATAGATCAAAGCCTGCTGCGACACAAGCAAAATGGAAATAAGGCTCATTGGTTTTCATTAAGCTGCCGAACTTCTCCAAACAAGCCAAAGAGCATGAATACAGCCAGGCAATACTCCAAGGATAGTAAGAAGACTAGAAGTTTATTTTATTTTTATTTTATTTTTCAGATGAAACAACTTACATATTTAAGAAAAACTGCATCGTACATCCAACTTTAATGAGAGCGGCTATCGGTGGCAAGAGAATAGCCAAAATTGATAATAAACTAAAGCAAGAAAAATAATAGTAATAAATAAAACTAATGTACATACATATTGCCAATACAATCACCCATGTCGAACTTGAGTTGCGTGTGTGATGCGTAGAAAATGAATTATCTGAAAGAGGTCAAATTATGCTTCCTCTCCAAAGAATGATGTATAAAAAATGTGTAGCTCGAAATAAGTTGGACCAATGATTGTTCTTTTCTGACTTTTTCTGTTCCTTTTCTTCTCTATTCTCTCATCTAGTTCGGCACTACAGCGATCTGTTTCCCACTGGTATATATATATATATACACAATGGGCCTTATGTTGTAATGACATTCATATGAGCGAAAATAAATTCGTCGATAAATGCAAGGTTAAATACCAACAATAACTTTTACTTTTCAGTAATTGCACAGTAAAGATGCATTTTAGCTATCATTTATGTGACATCAACTTTATTTTTACCTTTTTCTCGATAGTCAATTCGAGGTAAATTGATCAGAAACTTTTCATTACAAAAAAAGTTAGTTGAAGTAGACTGCGTATGAGTGATGAGAAAGTAAAAATGTATAAAATGCATAGAGATAATAGCCAATAATTCTCTCGTGTCATTTTTTTCTTTCTCTTCCGAAAGGAAGAGTTCATTGAGACCGTTTTATACATTCGAAGTATGAGAAATATTTTTTTCTTCCGTTTCTTTCAAAATCACACTGCTTTACTCTACGATGATTGAGAAGTATAGAATTGGTCTTTTCTATTCTGATATAATGATAAAAGAGAAAAGAAAGGCACCATCAAGTTTTGATTGCTGCAGATGGCGCAATTTCTCTGTGCCTTGGAAATAAGTATGGTCTCGAAAAGTCATTGATGTATCAATTTAGTTCAAGAGTAACATTTTATCATGTCGCTGGCGCATCGAACACATTCATACGTGTATTGAATATAGATCAAATGTGTGCAATTCTTTTTAGCTTATCCTGTCCTCGAGTAACATACATGATTTTAGTCTTTTTTTATTATTAACTAGTGCATGTGACGTCTGATATTTTTCACGTACTTACCAATCTTTTGTTTCCGTTACTCTTGAATTGACAAAAGTTTTACCTTCATATCTTATGTAACAAGAACAAACGTTTAAATAGAATTCATTTATTTATTCTTTTATAATGACTGTCAGAGTGTCGAGTTGGAGTTTTTATAATGATTTCTATTTTAGATAAAACAATTCTTCATTGTATAACCGAGCATGGGTGATTGTTTCTGTAATCTTCTGTTAACAATTTTAGCAATATTTTTACCACCAGTGGCTGCCTTTATTAAAGTTTATAATTGCATTTTATCCATTTAAATAAGTAAATTTCATATGTACATTGTTTTAGGTTGGATGTACAACGCATTTTTGGATTAATTTAATATTAACTTTGCTTGGATGGTTACCTGGTAGCATTCATGCTTTATGGCTTATTTGGGTTGCTCCTTCAACAGTTTAGCTTTGCATGGATATGCACATATATACATATCCAAAATATAAGAAAGGAACAAAAGCATTTTTCTGCTTTTTTAATTATCTTGTATTAAGTTAAAATAAAAATTTGATATAAACACATATTAAAAAACAACAGTTTAATAATATTGTTAGGAAGTTGTAGATGATGGAGCTTGCTCTGAATCTTGGAGGTGTGGGTGAGCGTATTTTTCAGCGACGCCCAGTCTAACTCGGCGGAGATTCACACCCGATATTTCTCTCTCCAATTTGCATTCTTTAGATTCAATAGGTGTCCTGCAACCTGATTATAATTTGTTTCCTTCTCCTCGAAATAAAGTTCGTAAAAGTACTTCAGCATCTCTGATTGATTCATTTATATATCGAAATATGTTTTTCAATGTACCACGATATGCTCGAATAGTTTTAAATAACAAATGATTTTTTTATTGTTATATGCGGTATCAATTTTCTTACAAATCTCATCAAAGTAATTTAAAATTCTACGTAAGCGATTTTAATAAATTTCATTAATTTTTTCTTTTGAAATGCGTTCATGACAGTTGAACTCATTCATAGCCGTTTCGAGCACACACACATTGACGGCGGAGTCATTAGGCTCGCGAGGCTCAAGCCTACCCTAGGCTGGAAGTGGGTAGACCTTGATAGACTGAAATTGGAACCGATAAATGTTTGGATAGGTTGTTATATGCAAATTGTTTTATTCTTGTTTAGTTTTGGGACTTTTCTAACAAATAACGCATTATTACAAGATCATTTCATATTTTCTCTACTAGTAACTCGTTCGCAATGAAGTATTAGTTGAATGTTTTTGGCATTAAAATTGACGTCTAATTCGTAATTCTTAATTTAAGATAGCTGAATTGTTTTTGTAACTTCTGTTTAAAATTACTTTTAAATCTTAGGCACTCGAATAACATTATTTGTGCCGTGCAGAAATGCGAGCTAAACAAAGTTAGAGTATGTCTTCCTTTCAAAAGGAAGGCCAAGAATGTTTTAGTGAAAAGCCGTCTTCTGTTGAAATTTAAATTAGGAATTTAAATGATACTCATAGTAAAACAAAACGTCGTTAGAATCAACAAAACTCGACATCATCATTATGAAGTATCTATTCTGATTTTTCTACAAACAATGGAATATAGAATATTTTTTCGTGCTGAATAGTTTTTTCTTCTTCTTGGACTGTTCTTTTAGTGATTTTTTTCCAAGCAGTCTTTCGCATTTTTATTTACTTCGTTACTTGCTGTTGCATCTAAAAACCATACTGCATTAGATAGTTATTCCACTTATACTGAATTAAAAATTAGTGAGAAAATCTAAAACGATTTCCTTTATATACAAATGAAAAAATCACTTCTCAATTAGTTTTCATTTGTGCAAGAGTTAGAATTTATATCAAATTAAAATCGATTAAGAACTGATTAAAAGTCGATTACAATCATATGATTCTTATAAAGTTCCAATCATTTTTTAGCCAGTTTTAATCTTTGATCAGTGAAAAACTAAAATTTCATTGTATATCACGATTATTTCTGCATATAATCAAGGTAAGCTGCATAAAAACATCGACTTTAATTGATTCTCCTTGGTGATAAATGCAAAAGGCTTATTTCGATCTTTACCGATTTGCATAAATTCTAATCAATTTTTCTATGAAGTTTTAATCAATCATAATCGAATGAATCAATAAAAATATTTTTGTTTCCGCTATTTTATTAAAAATCAGTTAAAAAATGATTAAAAGACGATCAAAATCGTATGCTTATAGTTGACACTTAGTGTGCTTTTAGTCGATTTCAGTCTGACTTCAACTCTATTCTTTTTCAATGGTGAGACTTGATTTGTCCAAAACGTTGAGCCTACCCTGGATCGAAATCTTTCCGCNCGAAAAAAAAGTCGCTAAATTATCAATGATTAATCGGCGATTTTTATGGAAACGGCACACAAATTGCGATTTTCCCAGGAAAAGCCACAAACTTCAGGAATTCTATCGTGATTTAGTAGTTCAATTAATTGTGATAAAATCGTCAACTTTGTCACAATTTTAAGAACATGGGTTGTTATTATTAAAAAGTTTCAGAACAATTTCGTAAAATTAAACTACACGTTTCACAATTTTATTGCACAACAAAAATGCACAATATAGTATAACGAAACAATATATACGAAAGAAATATATTGACGTATATGAACACTTGTTTAAAAGAATTGACTATTATCCACAAAGTGCTCTTTCTTCATGTCTCTGTAAGAACATGTTTCGAATTAAGTGCCCACTGAAAAATGAAAGATTATGCTAGATTATAGTCTCATGTTTGTGCTGCGAAATCAAAATTAATCAAAGTTATTCTTGATTTCGAAGATGATTTTCGATTGGAAATCAGATTGTGTTGGATTTTGAAAATTTTAATCGACTATAAATTTGATTTTGCTGTACTAAAATGGGATTAATAACCTAACTTAGTATAATCTCGTATAGTCTAGCATTTTTCACTGGCTGGGCTTCTATTATATTGGAAAGTCACAAAGTCAAGGCTGGGCCTCTATTCTGTGGGGGGGTCTCTAAAATTTTTTTCACTGATGTCACGTACAACGAAATGCGTAATAGACAATTGTGAGATCAACGTCAATGACTTGTTTTTTGACTTGAGGAAAACAAAAATGAGCACGAATCAGTCTAACTTGAAAGAGAACATACATTTTTTGTTTCAATAAGCAATAAACAAGAAACGTTTTTTATTACGCGGTTGGATAATTGTGAAGACCACTGCAAATATGTATAGATATATGAATATCTATGATAATTATCGTAGGATTTTTCTCCCTTTACAACAATCACATTTCTTTTTTTTCTGTTGTTTTTACTTACTAATCGTTCTTTTGATAAACCCAAATAGAAAAGAAATACATTCATTTCAGAAGACGATTATCGTCTTGAATGCTCGGTAATTAGAAAACTATTGAGATTTAAATATTAAATGATTTGTTTATTTGTAGTGGAATTTAGCAAACGAGATAGAATTTAAAAAGTTCAATAAGATGCAGGTGCTTGTCAATGAACTTGTGAGAATTATCATTGTGAATTGAGAAAAACAAACACTTTTATAAGCAAGAATTTTCTAATAAAGAAAATACAGAAAAAGATAAGGAACTCACAAATCATCGGACAGTATTTTTAAATATTTTAGAATCTGTATAAATAAAAAAATCAGGCCAAAGATTTATCAAAAATTTTAGTTAAAATACAAAGATGTAATCAGATGTCCGAATTGATTGAATAAATAAGTAAAAAATAAAGTGAATATGAACCGGAACAATGTGTTAATTCATTTGAGAGTGCCGATTAAAAGATGATGAATACCCACAACTGCACACAGACATACACCCGTGACAATAACAGAAATTTCGCTGATAATATTAATATAAATGAATCAACAGTACATATTGATCTTTAATTACAAATATTTAAAACATTTTTCAGCTATTCAAACGTTATCTTATGGAAAGTTTATTGTTTAATTTTAAAAGCCAAAGATTTATCAAGTACGTGGTTTGAAAATCCTTTTGAATTAGTAAATAATGAGATTAACTGTTGTAAACGTGAAGATAAAAGAACGACACTGTTGTATGATTTTGACTAAGTAGATATTTTCTCGGAGTTTTTTTTCTAACAATTACGCTATCAAACTTTCGTATTGTTATATGGTGTTGTAATTGGTACTGTTTTCTTTTCAGAATATGCCAAATAACTAGAGAAAAATAAACATCAGCAAAAAATCTACTGAATGGTTTAACACATTCACTCACCCCATGATAAACAATGGGAAAATACTTAGCAGCGCCAGGACTAGAAAGACGAGCCCAGGCCAAAAATGAAGCGATGCATTATAGATAGAGTTTGATGCGGCATCGATTCCCTTGTCACCACCTGCTTCAATGAAGGCTGCAGCGATGAACACAATGGCATATTCGCTCGGCTCTACGAGTCTACTAAGTTTGGACCGTAGTACTGGCATTGTAATAAAAAACAAACTTCCAATAGATGCCGCTAGAACGAAATAGATTAAGTCATTTTGTCAAATGTAAATAAAACTTATTTCGTAAACAAACCTATGTAGAGTAACCATGTACGTTTGGCTAATCCGAAGATAACAAGATCACCTACAAGACCAAACAAACCGATGATGGGATACAAATAGGTGTTGTCGAGTGTGTGCTTTTTGAACAAACTGATAAGCGCAGTCAGTACACAGACGCTAATTGCATGAGTTGTGATGAGCATGCCAACATGGAATGCATCCATACAAAATGGACGTCCGTAGGCGAAAATGGCAAGTACTGACATGTAACCAAACAGCATAAGCAAAAGAAGAACATTAACAATACTAATTAGTATTAGGTGTTGCTGATTGGAGCCAGGACGTTTGATAAAAAATACATGAATGCATCGAATTATTGGTTTCAATCGAATACGTGTCATCTGTTGGATCATCGACAAATGACGACTAGATATAGAAAGAAGCGGAACATTTCTTGAAATAGGAAAAACAATAGGATTGCTTTCCTGTCTTCTGAAATTTCGACAAACAATAAATATCTATTCGATTTATTGAAATTGTGAGATTGGTATTTATGAAAAAAAAGTCGCAGATGTTGATAGCCAATCATCTATAAGCTACAATCTAGGAGATACTCATAATTGAAACAACATGATCCAATAATGTTTTGACATCAGAATCGTATTCATAGCTTTTTTAGAATATTGATAATCTTGGCCGTGCAAAATTGATAAATTTCGTTGAATTTATTCGCATCTTAAACTGATCATTAAAAGAATTTCAATCGAGTCTAGACAGTAGATCAATGAGTTCGCTTGTGCTCTACATGAAAAATTGAGTATAATAGCTTGTCGAAACGGCCCTTTTTTAATTTTCAACGCTCAGTTCTCAAAAAGAACGACTCAAACGTGTACTTTGCTGATCTATGGTGGGTTGTGCAGACGTAAAATCCTTTTATTGTTCGGTTATCTCTAGCAGAATATGCTAAGAGAAATATTTGAATAAATAATAATATAAAAAATCCTCAGAGTTTTTTTTTCTCATGCGTACTTAGATATGTTTTTGCATATACTATTTTCATTCAAACATATGGATAAACATGGATACAATATCTTTTCGACTATGAAACTTATATAGGATTATCTCTCGATTAGCACAACAATTTGTCTGAAATTGCACTTCTCAATAAAAACATCTTTTACTCAAGATTGTCATTTGTCGTCTCTTTTCTCGTAGCATCTCTATATCAAATTCGTTTTATTTTATAATTATTCGTGTAACTTACTCGATAACCGGACAAAAGTAGTTTTCTATCGAAATAAATATAGCCTCTGAAAACGACTCACACAGTTTGTACAGATTCCGGTTGAATGAACAGTACGTAGAGCATTCCGACGATACTTAATCCAAGACAGACGCTTAACGGGATAATGTAGAGCGAATGTTGTAACCATAAGCCGATGGCAAGGACTGGTACGACGCGTGCCACTAGAACAATCACTTCAATTATCAAAAATGGTCGAGTTCTTTCAGATTCATGTGTACAATCGGTGATGAAAGCTAAAGCACTCAACATGACTATGCCAAATGAGCCGAAGAACGCTTCAACTGCTTGACAAGCTATTAACCATCCATCAGGGAGGTCACGAGCAATAATAATTATCATGAGTGTATATCGAACGATTTTACCGATAAAAGGTAAGAAAAGTAATGGACGTCGACCAATGGTGTCACAGTTTGAACCTAACAGAACAATGGCGAATAATGAGGGAATCAATGTAGCAGATGAACTTTTGACATTAAATTTCGCGGCTGCCTTCTGAACCATGTTATAACCTGATTCAACAGGTGAATATTGCTCGAGGTACCAATAATCAAGCGTTGACGTCGACACTTGAAGACATGCAGTTCGTTCTTTCTTTCTTAAAGTTTTTAATTCATAGTGATGTTCGTAACGGCGCACAATAAAATCGTTCATGAGTAGACTGTCAGACGCAGTAGGCAATGTTATGAACAGTAAACAAGGTATGACAAGCCACCAACGAGGTATAGACGAAGGAAGGTTGTGGATTTGTCTAATTTCTTCCTTGTTAATCAAAGGTACTCTATTTGTATTTACTTCAACATAATCTACTGTTCGATAGAGTTTTTTATTGTTGTTGTTATTATCATGGACATCTGGAGGAGCGAGACGATACTTTTGAGCAGCCATTCAAGATGCCTAAGCCGATATTTAATGAAACGACTGCTTTCATCACCGTCACTTTCGGTGACGCAATCAACAAAAAATGTGTTCTCGTCAATACTTGCGTGCAATAGCTGAAAGAAAGAAAAAAAGAACAGAAATTATTTTTTGCGTCAGACGTACAGAAACAAAAAGAAAAAGAAATGCAATAGTCATTTTTCATCAGCCGCAAAAAAATAGACCGTCATACAACTTTTGACGATGCCACGATGTAATTACAAGGCCATAGAAATAAAGTAGCCGTGAAACTTATTTCATTGAAAAATGTTGTAATAGGCGACGCAACCTATAAAAATAGTGTTCTTATTAAGTTTCTTCGCTTGTGGACAACATTATTATTTTTGTATTGGTACAAGCAGAATCATATTTCATTAGTACGTACTTGAAAATAGGTGACTGTTAAAACTATGTCATACCTTTTATTTTTATATCGTATGCATCAGTGAAGAATGCATCAATTTAATTTTACTGTTCGGTTTTTCTTCCAGCATCTCAAGAAATGCCGCACATTGACTTGGTATCTTTTTTTCTTTTGGTGTGGTGTGAGTGTGTTAAGCTACCATGATGTCGATATATCATTGATGTTCTATAAAGGTGTCTATTTATATTTGCTCATAGGTAAAATTATATGTTTTTTTGTGATGTTAAATTTTCTTATAGCTGTATAAAATTGAAGGATAAATATTCTTAAAAAAATTCTTTTATTCGCTCCGATGATTTGATGGATAATTTTCTACGTTTATTGATGGTTTTGTTTCATGGCCATATGATGCATTGATATTCTCACAGGTCTTTTCTCTCGAAATTTCAAATAAAAGTGTACATAGTATGTGAATAATGTATAAGAATTGGTTATTTTTCATATTCTTCGAAATGCTATCTTGATTATCTTAGAAAAATAAATCCTCTATCGAGTTATATCAATTTAAAAATGTTCTTTTGTTCAATACATCATAATTATTCGCATTGTTTGAGGTAAAACATTTATAATTTTCAAAGAGAAATGTTTTTTGTGTACTAGTCGAATGTGGCGGTGGCAATATTTTCTTTACCCAAACCTATGCCCAATAGATAAGAACAGTGGTAAGTATTTTAGTCTCTGTTTTTTTTATTCGATGGCATAACGTAAAGGACATTTCAACAGACGGATCAAATGAAATACTCCATCATGTGAATCAGGAATAGATGAAGTTCTATAAAATATGTTCGGGATTAGCTTAGAATATTTTAATCGTCAACGTCTTAGACCATTTGTTATTTAAAAAGTGATGTTGTAATAAAGCTTTTCATATTTTCATATCATTTCTGGTATTATTGTTTTGGTTAATTCGGAGTTAATTAATTTTAAGTTCATGAGTTATATTGAATTAGTTCTAGTATGCCACGATTCCTATCACAGAGAAAATTCAAAGAGATTTTCTTTAAAATATTTTCGAAGTGTGAGTCGAATTCAACAGAACAATAGGTCCAGAAATCGTATAGTCAGTTAAAAGTTGATTCTCGGAAGATCACTCCTTTTTTCGATCAGCTATGAAGTTGAGATTAAAAAATTGACCGACCGATTTCAAACATGCTTCAAGTCTACTTCACGATGGTCCTTTCGAGAATAAAAATGTCGAAAACTAAATACGACTAAAATACAAAACCTAACACAAAAATGCTAAAAGCTCCGAAAGATACAAGGGGAAAATATCTGAGAGTATGCTATGGGATATCTATCTCACCTAAACATCCCCTCACATCGAGAAAATATGTTTCTTTCACTACTCCATAATACCTATAGAAGTACCGCATATAATGGAATAAGGTCGATACTAAAATAGCTTGTTAGCGCGGCCCCTTTGGTACTAAAGCGTGGAACTCACATGGATTCCCATGTTGCGAATACCGGATCATTTTTTGCGGTAAAACGCGGTATTTATCCTTCCTGTGGTAATGGGACCCGGTAACCAGGTCGGTAAAAACGCGGTTAGCCGCCGATTTTCATGCGGTTTTTATTACATGGGTTCCTTAGACTTCCAAACCATTTGTTTTAACAGCAGCGAAAATAACTACACAACGAATATAAAGAGAGACTACCATTTTGACGAAATTTACTTTTGTAGAAAAACTGCAAAAATAAATTCCCTATAGTCTAACCTTATATTGAATTATAATGTCATTGTGTAATTACATTATAGCACTATTACATAGTGACGATATACATAACCATCGAATGTTTTTTCATTCTTCGTATAGTGTATACATATCGGCTGTTTAAAACAGCCCAGATTGATCAAAACGGACTCGTTTACAGTGAGTTTTATCAACGGTAAACGATGTCAAAACGGTGTATTTACGGCAGTAAATAGGCCGTTTTTATCCGTAATACCTGGCACAGTAATACGGCACCGTAAACGGAACTGAATTTTCATGTTATACGCCTGTTTGTGTTCCGTACTCTCATGATCATACGGTCCGTATTACTGCGCCAGATATTACGGCAAACTTTCGCCCGGAAAATAGTCGTAAAGTAACCGTAGACGGCCGTATACGGACCGTACTGTTCGACCTGGGAGTAAACGATAGTATTTTTCACTATACGGTAGCGTTGTTCTACATTCGATGGTTATATATATCATCACTATGTAATAGTGCTATAATGTAATTACACAAGGACATTATAATTCAATATAAGGTTAGACTATAGGGAATTTATTTTTGCAGTTTTTCTGCAAAAGTAAATTTCGTCAAAATGGTAGTCTCTCTTTATATTCGTTGTGTAGTTATTTTCGCTGCTGTTAAAACAAATGATTTAGAAATTTATCAAAGTCGCTCAAATACTTATAATAAAATATGATACATATTCCTTAGACTTACTAAAATAGTTTAAAATAACCCAAGTGAAAAATCTAATTTAGTTTCAAAAATCTATAATTAGGCGATCACTTATTGCTTATGTCTATAATGAAGGGTTGATTGTTAGATGGTATCTTTAACGATGGCAGAGACTAGTTGTTAAGGTCTACAATGCTGCCCTTACCAGATTGATATGGTCTGCAATGAAGAGGAGGAGTCGCGAAACTCTCGCTGTTTAACTTACGCACCATTTTCTTCTAAAATACATGTGATTTCCACAAGAACTAACTTTAGTGCATCTAAGAGTTTTATTCGAAAGTCACTTTTTGAAAATAGTATCTAATCTATACGGACGTCGCCAACGAAGGGTTGATAACAAACCGTAATAAACCTAAAAAATAGGCTACAGAAATCGTTCTAAAAACATTAATATTCAAGAGGAGAAAACGAGTCCAAGCAGATGTTTTTAAACAGAAGGGAAGGAGCAAAAATAAGTTGTTTTTAATAGAATATTCTTTATAGGTTACTACAATGTCACTGCTTATGGTAGAAGCGAGATTGTATGACGACAAAACGGATAGAAAGATGGCTCCTTTGTAGGATTCAACTCACGTACCTACTATACTCTCTAGACAGATGTTCTAAGTCAGCTAGATTAGCAGGGGAACCGTCCTCTCTGGTAAAAATCAAGATGGTTCCTTAGCAGGTTAGTTCATATTTTGATTCATAAGGTCAATCTATGGACTTTCTCTTGTCCTACTCTGCCCTGATGACAGAATGGATTGTGAAAAATTACCCTGTGGTTTCGTCTGACACTATCTGAGTGGGTTGTTGAAGTACTGTAGCAATAATCTTTTGACCAAAATTATTGGCATTTTCCAATGAAATATATTCTCCGCAAGTAACTTTTGCAAGTAACTCAAAATATGCACGGAATGGTACTAGAATGGAAAGAATCAATAAAGCAGTTTATGTAATATAGCTAATGAGAGAAAAGTGAACCTACTACTGGAAGGTTCAACACCGATAATATGAAGTGTGATTTTTTCTTCGGCCATTTTTCGAACGATCATGTTTGCGTCATGTCCAGCAGGAGATCCCGAAGGAAATGAATCACCTATTGGATGAAATCCATGTGGAGGTGCATCGGCAATTAAAATACAGATTTTGACAGCTTGAGGGTCCCATGAGAGATTGAGAATATCATAGAGCGCATCGGCAACTGCTTCGGGTGTGTCACCACCACCTTGAGCCAGGCATTGATCTAGCCATCCATTCATCTCTGCCTCTGCATTTGTGAAACTTTGTACGCGTGTTACAAATATATTCTCCTAAATAAGTAAATTGGGGAATCATTAAATCTCTTATTATTTAATATGTACATTCTTACAGACCTCAAGTGGATAATCCCGATATTCGACGAGTGCGAAGCGAGTAACAAGTGTTCTTTCTGACTTAATCTGATTGATAATCTCACGAATTCTATCAGTAGCATTTAGGATGTATGGTCTCATAGAAATAGTGCAGTCAATTGCAAACGCAAGATCTAAATCAAAGAGAATCATCCTCCTCATATATCCACTTTTAAAAACCTTACCAATGTGAAACTTGTCAGTCTCCATTGATCAAAACTCTTTAAATGTACTTTATCACGCAAACTTTAATAATACAATGATTCGATTCGGTTATGTGCACGAATATTTCATCTTTTATTATTCTGCCTTCTTTGCAGTCAAGATTGTGTAAATATTTGCATTTGAAATACAAGCAATAGCTGCGCAGTCAATAAAAAAACTTTTAGTTACTAGTTGACTGCAGATGACGTTCACAGTCGCGAAAGTCTCGAAACGGCGTTGGAAAATATCCGTGCGTATTTACAACCGAGAAAATCTTGCCGGAACTAGAAAAAGAGGTGCGGATGTGTGTGGATGATGGTGGGTGGGTTTAAGTATGAGTAATAGTCAGTGTGGGTGTGGGTATGAGTTTGGAGCTGAAAACACTCTTTAGCAACCAACTCGTGAAACTCACACCTGAAGTGTAACAATTTATTGCTATGCTTTTTATACCTATACGGCACTTGTATAAAATCGGTGAATATGTTTCCGAATCATGAATAATATAAAAGTTATTTCGAAAATAGATGTATTAAAAATTCCTATATTCTATTCAGTCGATTCTTTATAGCTGCATAATTAGGTGAAACAAAATGGTAAATAGATGGTGTAAAGATAGACTAATAACCAAGGGGGAAACTACTGATTTAACTCAGCTGAAACTCAAAATAACTCGCCGAAACTCATTTTAGATCACAAACTCACAACTATTATTTCCCCCCTTGTTAATAACACATATCAATATTTGAATCAAAGAAACCCTTTTTTGTTCTTTTTATGTTTTTTATTACATAACACCAAATGCAATCCATGATTGTTGGATGCGTTATGTATCATGTCATCGTCAACTGCAGACATGTATTCAATTGAAAGTTTTGTTTTCAGGGCTCATTGGTACTATGATTTAACTAGGTTGAGTTATTTTTCGTCGGGAATCTGTTAATTTTATTTCACTTTTTTAAATTTTGTGCTTTCGAGTCTTTCATACGCACCAGCTGCGTTGTCTTATTTAGTGGCACTTTTCTATTTGATCACATCATCGTGGTTTTGCTGTTTTTTTCATTAAAATAAAAACAATACTGTTAGTATTTTTTAAGTTTATTTTCGTCCCAATTGTAGCGTATAAAAATATTACCACTGATTGTCTTCGTATGAGTGGCATTTGTTGGCGTTCTAAGTTTCTTGATTCATGTCACTCGTTGGGATATGAGTGTGAGCATCATTACACTAATCGACGGTCTTGCTCTATTCTTTCCAGGTTCTTGTTTTTCTTTACTTTCAGACAAGATTCTTGTATTCAGGCAAGATTCTTTTCGATAGGAAAGTAAAAAGAATCTTGTCTGAAGTTCAAGATCCAAAGAATCTCGTCTGGTTAATCAGAAATAAAAGAATCAGGCAAGAATCATAAGATATTCAAGATATATTTAAAGTTCAGACAAGGATCTTTTTCTTTTCTTTTAAAAAAAATCTTGTCTGAAGTTCAAGATCCAAAGAATCTTGTCTGAAAATTATGAAAAAACAGAAAGTGGAAAGAAATATAAGATATTTTAAATGTCTTACTATTCAAACAAGATTCTTATGATAGGAAAGAAAAATATTCTTGCCAGCTCTTCAAGATCAACGACACGTGATGTCGTCTTTGTACGATCAAATATATAAGGGCAATGCCTGAACGTTATTTATTCATTATTGGTTCGATAGGTAGTACAATTCACTTTGAATATGTACTTTTCCTAAAGCATTCGTTTTATTCAAACGACATCTAGCAACTCATTATTTCAATCGGATGTATAGAAAAGGTTTTCATTTGATATCGAGAAAACAGTGAAATATATTATATCTTTTTTCCATTGCTTTCCAAAAGCTGACACTTATTAAAAACATTTCGATATTTTCATATCTTTCTATTTTATTATTTTTAGATTTTCTTTCATTATTCACAAGTGTTGTTTTTTAATGGATGAAGGGAATTTTGATTCGTTCAAAAAATTATGTTTGATAATGCTCTTGGTAATATAGGTAATATCTATACGCACTTTATATCTCTTTGAGTCACATACTATCTTTTTTAAAGTCATCACCACATACAGATACACAACGCCGATGGCGTGCTAAGAAAAAAGATCAACATCATCGTACTCAGTTATCTCTACGTCGTTTAGTAGTTGAACAAATTGTAAATAACTTATTTTAATCGAGCTAGCTCAAAATAAAAAATTTTACACTGTTCTTTTTTTTTTAGAATGAATCACATCAATATTCATCTGGCATTAACGAAAATTTTATGTTTCTTTTGTGTTAATAACTGAAACTGCTTTAATAGCATGTGAAATTAAAAGTATTTCTTTCTTTTTTTACGTTTTTTTGTACATGTTGTGCAAAGTTTAGAATAAAATTATATGAAAAAGAGAGTAATAATAACCTACAAAAGGTTTTTTAATGTGACCAGAATCAGACAAGAAACACAAGAAATAAGAAACAGACAAGAATCTAAGAAAAAAAGAATCAGGCAAGAGCATCAAGAAAAATAAGAATCAGAGAAGAATTCAAGAAAAGCAAGAATCAGGCAAGAAAGCAAGAATACAAGAATCTTGTCTGGAGAAGAAGTTCTTGCCTCACCAGCCAAGATTCGGTCTACACGAATCTTGTCAGAAAGGCAAGATCAGTTTTTTTCAGGCAAGAAACTTGTATAGAAGGAATGGAAAAAAAATCTTGTCTGAAAACCAAGAAAAACAAGAACCTGGAAAGAATAGGGCAAGATCGTCGACTAGTGTTATCAATTGAACAGATAACTGACACTCACACCGATGCCCACAGCCACACCCAGGCCCTTCAATGAAATATATTTCATTTAATTTATAGATCTGATCCACAAAGAACATTGATCAACGGTTAAGTTAACCTAGCTAAAAATGCTTTATTATTATCTCGAGAAAGATAAAATATGAAAAGATCATAAAAATGAATTTAATCAGACGAAATTCATTTTGCTGGTCTTTTTTAAATACAAATAGTTGGTGCATGGTGTTTACTTGATGCTACAGCAACTCAGGTGAATGAATCCGACAATGGATCTTATCGAATCCTATGGGAACCGACTCCCCGACAGAATCCGATAGGATTCATGGGCACGTACCTATTGTCCGTTTCGACGGAAAAAATCAATTTCTTATTCACGATCAAATAAGCATTTTGAGCCATCGGAGTGTAAGGATGATTCGATAGAGTTGGATTCCATTAAAATCCGACATCAGATCCAATTGGACCCAATACCAAGGATCCAACTGTAGGTCCGTGTCCAGGAATCCCATAAGATTTCGTCGGTTTTATTGAAGCACACATGGTATTCGGTTTATTCACTGTCTGACCCTTGTCGGAATTCGATAGGATCCTACTGTGGGAATGATTCTCCTGGGAAGTATTGGAATATTTAATTTATCATCAAATGTATAGATAGCTGTTGTATCTATGTCGAAACGAAGATCTCGTGGGTGGCAGCTAGTGTACTAAATAATCGTTTAGGGTGTGTGTACGATTAATGAAAGCTCCACACCCAGACTCACACAGTTCTATTATTCTTGTTGTTTATCTAGCAATGTCTAAAACATTCTTAATATCTATGTTATCTATGTAACACGTGAAAAAGATAAACGTTTTGTGAAAAAATGAATTTATCACTGTTGGCGGTGACATAACGGTTTTTTAGATCATAAATACAAATAGTTTGTTAAATTCATAATATCAAAAATGAATAGTGAATTAAAGAATGAAGAATTTGTTTTATCGACTCGTCCTTCGGATCAAAATGAAATCAAGTCGGCTTGGAAATTACAACCATGCCCAATGCCAACTATCGCTAATGATAATGAATTTATACTAGAAACTTTATTTATTTCTGTTGATCCTTATCTTAGTAGTGGTTTAAAAAAATCAGCATTGGGAGGTGATATTAATCCAATTGGTTTTATTCAAATATCAGGTTTAGTAGGTCGTGTTATTGAGAGTAAAAATTCAAATATTCCAACTGGTACACTTGTTACTGGGAGAATGCAATGGAAAAGATATATTCTTGCTAATGGTACAGAACCACGATTTAGAATTTTGCAAAAATCAATAGAGAACAATACAATTTATGATAAGATTGGTTTTAGTACTGCACTTGGAGTATTGGGAATGCCTTCACAAACAGCCTATTATGGAATACTATCAGTTGCCAACACACAACCATCCGATGTTGTAGTGATAAGTGGAGCTGCAGGAGCCGTTGGGACAATTGCTGGGCAAATTGCAAAGAAAGTTAGAGGCGCTCAAAAAGTCATTGGAATTGCTGGCGGAGAAAAAAAATGTGATTACATTGTCAACGAATTAGGATTTGATGCAGCAATTAATTATAAAGAATATAATACGAAAGAGAAAATGATTAATAGATTAAAAGAATTAGCGCCGGAAGGAATTACACAATATTTCGATAATACGGGTGGATTTGTCACTGACGCAGTATTTGATATTATTAAAAAACATGGTAAAATTATTATTTGTGGCCAAATTAGTACTTATAATAATAGTGAAGATGATCCATCTAAAATTAATATTTATCCAAATTATTTAGCGAAAACAATTTATCGTGGTTTATCAATTTTAGGCTTTGTATGTGGCGATTTTATTCATCGAAATGAAGATGAATTTTATAAAGATATGCCCGTTTGGTTGGATCAGGGAACAATTAAATTTCATGAAACTTTTGTTGATGGATTTGAAAATTTGCCTCGAGCTTATGAAATGCTTTTTACTGGTGAGAATATTGGAAAAGTTGTTATTAGAGTTTAGATTTTTGACATTTCTTTTCATCGTTTTTGAATATGCTTCAAAGAATGTGTTTCTGCATCACTCTTAATGCATAATGATTTATTTTTATGATATAAAAAATATTCACACGGAAACGGTTAACTTTAGTCAGGCAATGCCACCTAATTGAAACATTTCAAAGCGCTTTTTGATCTTTTTATAGTCTATTGGACAGCTATTCAAATAATCGTAAGTATTGGCACTCAACGAGCAGACGAAATCTTACTGTGGACGATTGTAACACTTGACATACATAATGCACAAAATATTTCAGTAGGAAATGAATCGATAAGCCAATTAATCCATTATATTTTATTTTTGATCTAATTAATAACTGTAACATAAATGGAATAAAAGATGGTCTATCAAAACTTGTGATATCAAGCCTCTTAACTGATTCATTTGATACGAATTTTTTCTCCAAAAACACATTAGATAACAATAAACGCAAAGAAAATAATTGCTAATGATGTCATGAGGGCATTAATGAATCTAAATTGTTGTATGCAAAGCTAAAATTGGTAGAAAATACTTGATTGAAGTATAGTGATATATTAACGATAAAATCTGTTCAGTTAACAGACTCATTAACTAATTACGTAAGTTGTGCAGCAAATGACCATAGAAAATGTAGCAAAAATGATGCTTTATTATAGAGCGAAAATGCGAAAAAATCAAAAATAAATTATTTCTAATATTTGAATCAATTTTGCATAAGAATCAATTAACTTTTCAATTCTTTCTCCACAAAACACCACTGCTTGATAATAATCACATGGATACACAAATGGAACAATGCCACAGCAGCGTGAACTGGCTGTTAGACCTACGAAGCCGAAGACATGATGAAAACTGCTTATTACTGTTTATATATTTTGAGGGTGCAGGTGTAGAGAATGATCGTATCATCACCCACACCCTATCTAGTTACAAATGAAGAATCATTACGTTTTAATCCCTATTGAGCAGCCTACAATCATCTTCAGCGATATCTTATTACCAATAAAAAAAGAACGACATTCTTTCTAAGATACATTTCTGTCTTAGTATAATTCATCTAAAATGCGATAGAAATGCTATTACACCTCAGCCGTTAGATGAATCCTTGGTGCATCTTAAACGATCAAGACGCTTAACAACAGATAAACCCATCAACTTTCTCATTCTATATTACTATCATATGGGTGTCATTTATGAATCGAAAGAACGTCAGATGATCAGTGATTCGATTCTGGTTGGTAAAGCACAAGCTCATCTTGGTATTACTTATTTTGAAGCACATCAATATGATAAAGCGAGTTTATTGATGTTGCTGCTCTCTTGGATGTGATTTCGAGGCCGTTTCTTTACGAAATTGATCTCATTATCGGAGAAACATTATTGAAAGTAAATGACGTTGATAAAGCACTGTTGTACTTCAAAAGCTTCTTAGATCGAAATGAAAATGTTGACCAATTTGATACTGAACTATGGTGCGACGCCTGTGAGCGTATCTTCTATATTTATTATTCGAAACGTCTGTTTGGCGATTCAATAATAAACGCGAAAAGAATGCTTGAGCTTCGAAAGAAGGCATGCCCGCATGGTTTTGACGAGATTATGGATACACAGTTGCTCATTGCACATTGTTATCATATAAATAATGATTGGCAAGAAGCAATACATTATTTTAACATGGCTTATGACACACTTGGTAAAAAGACTAGCGATATTTCTATTCAAGACTATAATCCATTGATTTCCAGCCATGGATTATTAATAAAATCTCTGCTTGCGATTATTTATCGAACTATACATAACTATGAGCAAGCTATATATCATGCAAACATTGCACTGGAAACAGAAGAAAAGCGCATGTCTAGAGATAAGATTATCATTGCTTCCTGTTATGACTTTATCGGATGGTGTCATTACATGAAAAATGAATATGAACAAGCCTTGGATTTTTGCAATAGAGGCCTACATTTGCTTCATACGTGCATATCAGATTGCGATACTCGTTGTTGTAGTATATATCATAGTCTTGGTGTTATTTTTCTTGAGCTAGGCGATATTAAACAATCATTCTCGTACTGCATGAAAGGCATACATATTTTATCTGGCAATATGAATGCTGACAACAATAATAAACGTAATTTGACACATTTCTATTCGTTGCTAAAGCGCATTTTCAAAGAAAAATCTGATCTATTAAAAAAAACTACATATATGGGAAATCTGTCGATTTCTGCAGAGGTTCAACAAAGTTCACAACTTTCTCCATGTATTGAATTAAATAACATTGTGCATTCGAAGTCTATTTTGAGCACGACAAATGCACAGTCTCTGTTCACCACAGAAGGTAATTTAAAGAGAAAAAAGGATTTAACACATTTGAATTTTTATCAGAAGAAAATACATATTGGATCATGACGACTGCAAAATTCGAACCTATTGATTCTTCTGATGCTGGTGATAGTCTTCATATGATTCAGCTAGACGAATCTTAAACATCGATTCTTCTTTTATTAAATACTGATTCAAGACATTCCGTAATCACAACGAAGGTATATTGAGTGTGGGCGTGGGATGTAGCATCACTCACAACCAAGCAGATAAATCCACATCCCACACCCTCAAGATTAAAAAAAATGATAAAAATATCATTAAAAAATTGTTTTATATTATTTGATTTGTATTTATTAATTGTTCTGCTGATCTAGAGTTGTAATACTTTCATGTCTTAATAGATTGAAAAAGAATATTAACTAGAATCTTCATTTCTATTTCGAAAAACCTAAGAATAACTTCAAATCCACTTGTTTGTTGATTTCTTCCCCAAGTTCCTAATGGCAACTCGAAATCGATGTTGTTCGGCAGCTTAGCTATAAGATTCATAAGAAACTGTTGTTCTTCTGAAAATTTCACATTCCAAATTAAATCAATTGAAATATGTTTTCCTTGATAAATAAAATCTAATGTATCCTGATTTTCGATTTGTTTATCTTGATATCGCCAATTACCTTTTCCTATATTTAACCAACCAATTAATTTCGAATATCGATTTTCAAATTCTTTTTTCAAATGATGAATTAATGATATAACATAGACAAACGGATCTTGCAATGTTATAAATATTGATGATATTTCATTGTTCACATAATCAATATTAGGAAAATAATTCGATTGTTTCTGGTCTATTGTTAATAATGAAATCATGAAGTCAAGTTCATATTCAAGTTTTTCTAATGTCCATTGTTGATTAGGTTCGGCAAAACAGTGATCAAACGTAAGCAAAAGATGATTTTTCAAATGTTCATTTATTTTCATTTCCATTCGAAAAGCTTTAAGAAAAGAGATTATCCGTTGATTATATCAAATTTTAACAACCAAATATTCTCTCTCACCTGTTACTTCAGCTATTTTCTTTTCAATTATTTTCAAATTTTGATGACATTGATGTGGTGGTTGTCCCCATATATTTTTAGATTCTTTCGGTTCATGACCAGTTATGAGCCAAAATAATATGGCACAAATTCCAGTGACATCAATTGTAGGATTTATTTGAAATTGTTTGACTCGTTGATCGCTATCATTTTGTGGTTTTTCAAATTGTGGCATTAGATAAAAACTATTTCCTAATGGCCCATCGACGTCTTGAACCAGAAGATGCTTTTTATGATCGATAATACAAGATGAAGAAAAATTAATCAACATAAAATCGAACTCGCCAGGAATTGGCCGTGGCCAAATAAGAATATTTTTCGGTTGAATATCACAATGGATTATTTTTAGACGATGAATTTCTTTAATTAAACTCAAAAGTTGTCGACTTATGCGTAGTGCTTCTCGAAAGTCAACTCTTTTAGATTTAATATAATCTGAAAGTCTTCCTCCATCAATCAATTTCATAATATTCCAAAATTCTTGATTTTCATTCACTGAATTATCTGATCTATCAGCATTACTCTCCAACAGCTTCGGTACGCTGCTTAGTTCTAAATCAATTCATATATTTCCATTAGAATTTATTGATAATATCATCTTGTCTATACTTACGAGTCAGTTTTTTGAGTGCTAATCGTTCTCGTTGGGCACGTACTTGTGCTAGTCGACCGGTTTTTGGTAAGTAGATTTTTGTAACAACATTTCTTTCTTCATTCGACTCTGAATCAACCCAATACAATTCATCGTGATCGAATGGATCTTTGATTAACATTTTTCTGGTCCAATGCCATTGCTCTAGTAGACTCGAATCATTCCACGGTGGTGGACGATTGCCAAAAACTAAACACAGTTTTAAATAAATTATATTGAAAGAAATTAATTTTTCACTTTAATATGAATTAACTTAGAGCCACTTAGAGAACACATCTGTAACTAATATCAGTTGATATGAATGAGAGAATAGGCTTTGAAGCGTTTCTCGTTAATCGATTCAAGCCCATCATGTCGTCTTTGTAATAATTTATGAAAAAAAAGAGTTTCTACGAAACTAATAAAATACACTGATATCATTTTTTTTCCAGAAAAAAGACGAGCAATCTTGGAGAAGTAAGAATACATGTCGACATAAACCTCTCAGTTCGTCATTTATCTCCAGACAAACAATCCGTGTTTATTTTGCAGTATGAATTCATATATATTAATTTTCATCTAGCCTATATTATTTAAATAAATATATTTGTTGAAAGAATAAATATCCATTTATGTAACATACTCTCAAGAAAAATGACTCGTTTATTTCTAGATTAATCAGAGCATTGCAGTGTTTATATTCGTAACGACTATTCTCACCTGATTCTGTTCGTAAAGAGCGAATAGTTGGTTTCGTTTGTGAACTACTGCTTTGATTTGGTAATACAGCTGCCATTGCATATGATTTTCCTCCACCAGTGAGTGGTCTGAATGCTAAACTTGGTTTACAACTTTTTGTACTGTTTGCCGATGAGTATAGTGGTGGTATTTTGGCCTCATTCAAAGGAGTACTGTAAGTACTCAAGGCTGGCGAAGCACAGTGACTGTTATCCCTGGATAATAATTCATCGTTAGAATCGCTCCATTCGAATAAATCTTGATTAATTTCCAATTGACATTGGATTTTCTGCGTTATTAGAGAAGAAAACGGTGAGTCATGCCATTTATCAATTTGCTGTCGAAGTTTGTTTTCTAAAGGTTGACGTATGAGATAGGCCAATTTAGGATGATTAGCATTCTGCTCTGTTGGTTGAACAATTAATTGACATGAAAATTTCCGTGGGATTCTGAGTCGTGTCACAAGATCATCGTGTGTAACATGCGGAGGAAGATTACTTATTTTAACACGATAACACGCATCTTCTGAGCCTGTTTGTTATAGAACATGGAAAAAATGTGATCAAAGAAACAAAAATTGTATATCGTACGTACGATACTGTGGTCGATCGATGGATATTGTTGTTCGTTTTTGATTATGACCGAAATAGCAATATTCATCTTTACAAGTATCCGGTTCAGAGCAACTGTAATGTTTGTAATGGCATTGTGTCCCGGAATATTGACAAAAACCTTTTTGAAAATTTTCGCATAATTCTTGCTCATTAATTGGTTCAAGAATAGCTTCACATTGAATTTTATTTCTGCGGATAAAATATCCAGATTTCTCCTCTGCTAAATTTTGTGTTGTTTGTTCATCGCCGACATTTTTAATCCAAGCTTCACTAGACGAACGCCCATTAACAAGACAATTTGTTTCCAATAGATAGCAAGGATATAGAATAATTTTAGCAATAGGAACTCTAAAGACAGTCGATACTTCTTCGCTTGTCACACACGTTGGTAAATTAGTCACATGAATAACATATGGATGTTCACAATATGTATTGTCTTCAGCTAAACCAAAGTTATAATCAAAATTTTTTTTAAATCGATTGGCATTTGAAAAATATTTCAACAAATGTCAAACTCCGGTTTGAAACTTAGAAATATGTTTTGTTTTCTCCCTTCTGATCTGTTCTATTCAAGATCGTATATTTGAATACAGAGTAGTATTCCTTTGATTTTGCCAAAGTTAGAGATTTGATGTGTGCTAAGTAAGGTTTATAGTTTCTAAACCGATACTTTAGTGATATATCCTATCCCACAGCATGTCGAAACTTTTCCATCGCGTGCAAGCCTTGAGACCGAACCCAAACATTCGAGTTCAGCGCATGCCTATTTACGTCTACACCTGACGATGCTCACCGGTTTCTCACGTTATAATTTGATCCGTTATAATAACTAAAATCTCACTATTAGGCTAACAGCAAACTTTGATTCTATTTTAATAGCAGAATAATTTTTACAGGACTAAATCATAAAAGATCATTTCTCATGGATAGTCCTATCAAGAGTGAAAATTGAGAACATTTCCTAGGGAATATTCAAAGTTATCCCTTCATTTTTACCTGTTCGAGTTTTTTCAAGGCTAATTTGTATTCCTCTTATTTGTGGTGATGGATTACAGAGAATAATTCGATCGACTGAGTCATAACTAAAAAGGAGAATGAATGAATTTATTAATGCATGTATATGTTTTTAATATCTACTCTGAGAATATAAATAATGCTTCGGTATGATCATTGTTCGTCCATTGACATTGAAGAACTTGATCAAATTTTTGACAATATTTCTTCAAATCATACTCATTGAGTTTCTTGTTCGATTGTTGGTCGTTAGAAGATGTGCCAATCTTAATTTTGAGACCAGTAACACTTTGATTAAAGAGAGGACAAGTGCTTGGAAGACTTCTTGTCACTTTTATCTGACGCCCATTGATCGAAAAAGGTCGATTTTTCATAATTTCATCAACACTTTCTAGTTTGTCGAAAGTAACGAAAGCACGTTGATATTCTTCACCATTTTGAGCTATCCAAGTTTCAAAAAAACTCTTTCAAGCAAATATGAATACGAATTAAAATACTAACGATAAGGAACTCCTCGCTTGATTCGTGGAGCAACGGTCGGAAGAATTTTTTTAATTTGTGCTAAAATAACATTGTCTTTTATTTGTTTACTAACGTTTTGAAAAATTAAAGTGTTTGGATTAATGACTGTAGTTGACATGGTAGTTTTTATTAAAACAAAATAAACTATGAGAATAGATACAATCTGAAAATAAATAGAAAATATTTTGTTCACTTATCATAACTGGAAAGATGTTAATAAAGTTATTGCAAAAAATAGAAATATCTTAAGTTACACAATTGCAGCCATTTTCAGATACGTTGATACTGTAAACATTTGTAGCACATACTTTACAAATGGGAATAGCATACTCCAATACCTAGAGTTTTAGTTTATACTGAAGGTGTTTTGAGTGACGTGAATATTACGATATCGTTTCGACGTAGCATTTGCGTAACTTTATTGAGGATTTATTACCAGTCATATTCAATTATAAACTGCATAATTCGTAGGTATCTAATCAATCAAATAGTACTAGAGTGAAAATTTCAATTATTAAAATGAATGCAAGTCAAAATATGAAATGTACTAAAGCGTTGTGTCTATATGGGTAATTTAAAACTGTAGTGCTAATTTAAAGGGATAAATATAAACTCATATCTAAAAATATAGCAATCCATATCTAATTTTAAAATAAATTTATATCTAATATACGATAAATTTATATCTAATTTGTTAAGTAACACTACCTAACAACACAAAGTTGTATCAAATTAATAATTAATTTAATAGAAAAAAATCTTGAGGGTGTGGATGTATGAGGATGTGGGTGTGGGTGCGGGTGCGGGCATGGGTGTTCTTATCTCTCTTCACACCCACACCCCACCCAATACGTTTTTTAAACTAACTTTTTTCTATCACTTATTGTCATTCCCAGCTCATACATACTCTTTCAATTAATTGATAAGTACTTAACAATTATAGATTACGTTCAAATGAATTAGATAAGTCGATAAATTCATTGATAGTCATTTGTTAAAAGTGATAATATATTGAATTAAAAGACAGAACCTTTTTAATTCAGATATTTAATTGATTTAAAAGATGTTGAATTACAAAATTAGATTAAACAATTTTTTTAAAGGTATCCTTTCACCAGAATAGATACTATTGTATTAAATTAGGCAATATTGATATAATTTAGATATAGATTGCTATATTTTAGATATGGATTGCTATATTTTTAGATATTACAGTAAATGCATGCCTAATTTAAACATCTGACTACCGATCGTTTTTCAGATATAGCTATTTTTTGATAACTATATCATTGATCTATTTACTAAAACAAGTGAAAGTGTTTTTAAAATTAGCAAGTTTCTATAATAACAATATTAAATATCTACTTTAACGATTCTTGCATTGTAACTTGTACCATTCACCTTGTCAGGATTAACTAGAAACATGTATTCTTTTCCGTAAAAGGGCTTGCTCGAAACTCATGAATTTCCCCTCGACTTGAAAACAGTATAAAATGAAAATACTTTACAAGTAGTTAGCTAGCTACTCTAAACTGTCGATTTGTTAAGATCTCGTTTGTTTTGTGGACAAAACTCAAGGCGAAAAAAAGTGCGACTTCCGTACTTCCAGATACTTCATGTATATATCGCTGAACTTCAATTGTACTCCTTTGTATTTCGAAGTATCGAAGTCGCGCTTTTCCCTCTCGGAATTTATCCGAATCGATGTGTTCCAATTGCAACCATATACATACAGTCAAATAAACTAAAACACGATGATCTGTTCACTGATCAAATAAGAAAATAAAACCGTCATGTTTCAAAGAAGTGATTTTTCCAAGAATTGATATTCTTCGCTCAAAATTTACAATACACAAAGCTCAATTATAGAATGAGCTATCTATTGTACGCATACTGTTAAACCTTTCGCGCTACATCTTATGATGCATTTTGTTTCTGAAACTGAAAGTGCTAAAGGACGACAAAAATAATATAAAAAGGAAAATGTTACTGGTTGACATTTACCACTCACTGATAAATAACAATAAAAGGAATATGACAACTAGATGTTTTTGATTTGACTCACCTTTCAATCAGTAAAACTTCTAATTATTCATCCCGTTTAAAATACTATCTTGGATCGCTGAATGGAACTTGAGCATTTTTAACACACACTCTCTCTCTCTTGTTAACTGCAATGAATGTTTAATATTCACTATGAAGTATATACGGATCCAAAAAATCCTCCTTGTGTTGAGTTTTATGACTTTGTAGAACTTGATAGACTCTGTGAATTCTTTAATACGCTGTGAGTGTGGGTAAAGATAATCCAAGTTAGGATGCAAGAAAAAGAAAAAGAAAATCTGGAAATGCAATCTCACTGGCGTACTCACTCTGAGAGTACATCATACATGTCCTTAGTGTCTTACCATTGTTTTTGACCATCTTTTATTCTTATTGCTTTACTTATTTTCCAACTGTATGATTCTTTAAAAAGTATTCGAATATTGTCTTCAATTCCAAGAAGCAAAACGTTTGACAAATTAATATTCTGTTAAAAAGCTTGTTAGCGCAGCCATTTTGGGGCTAAAATGTGGAACTCACATATATCCCTTCGGCTTAGTAAAATAATTCAAAATAATTCATCTGGAAAATCTACCCTAATTTCCAAAACCTATAATTAGATCATTCCCTATTTGCACTTATGTCTGTAATTGAGTATTAATTGTTAGCTCGTATATTTAACAAGGGCAGAGACTGGTTTCTATGGTCTGTAATGGGCAAACATTGCTTTTTTTCGTGTAATCTGTAATTGAAAAAGGAAGAAATAGCAGCCTAAATAGTCAAGCTCCTAATTGTCACAATTTTAAACTCATTAATGTCTGTAATGGCGAGGGCGGTGGGGAACCGCAAAAATTTCGCTTTTAAACTTATACTCACCATTTTCTTCGAAAATATATATGAGTTCCTCAAAAAATGCGCNAGTCGTAATTAGCACTTTTTAAACTAATTAATGTCTGTAATGGGGAGGGGGGGGTGGGGAGCCGCAAAATTCTCGCTTTTAAACTTTCACTCACCATTTTCGTCGAAAATATATGTGAGTTCCACAAAAAGCAGACTTTTTATGTTTCCAAAGTGGGTAAATTTAAGAAGAAAAAAAGGAGACTGTTGGGTATTTTTGCCGTCTCGATTGTTTTGAGGCACGTCAACAACTGAGGTAAGAAAACAATTTTTGAAAAAACCCTCATAAATAAAAGAAAAAAACCCAAACTTTTCTTTTCTTCTCGCTTCATGACAGTAAACAAATACGCAAAGTAATGTGCATTGATTTTAGCTTGTTTTCTTCAGTTAAGAATAGGCATGTCCATTATGAGTGTGAATGGCAAAGAGACTTTTACCACTCACACCCTTTCCCAGGTCTAAAATTGACGATTAGACAAATATTTGATCGGCGACATAAATGCTCGTTTCAAGCGGGAAAATGACGCTCAGGTCAAAAACGCTTAAAAACTAAACTTACGATACACACACCAAACAAACAAGCAGTAACGAAAATATTCCGTTCCACCAATAACGTCACACCACTGTAAAAATGAATTCGCAGCGGAAAAATGAAAAACTCAATGGGAAAAATGTTTTCGATTAATGAAGTATTATTTTTCTTTTAGAAGAAAAATGGGTTCGTATGTAATCGAAATGAACATACGTGTATTCGCGATAAGAGAAAAATGAGTTGCACGATACTAAGGAGGTTGGGAAAATTTACAGTCGGTTAGATTATGGTTGACTTTGGTTAAAACAATGATCAGTAAATTTGAGGGTGTGGGTGTTTATATTCCATTGAAAAGCACACCAACACCCACACCCACACCCACAAATGTCAGAGTATGCACTTTGATGTGCTCTTTCAAATGAGACTACTCTCGAGCTATTCTACTGCGCTGATTCGACCAAATTACCCTATACACGTGGGCATGCTTTCTGAAAATAGTGTATGATGCCAAGCAAAAAATATCTGACAATGAAATAGTTTCAATGCCATGAAAAGATAGTCCATAGTCGATAGCATATACAGTGAAAAAATCTCGGTGATAACTCTTATTGCTCTTTCGAAAATTAAAATTTACTGAAAAATATTGCACTACAAAATATTCCAAATTTAGCTTAGTACCAATATTTTCACAGCCTATATCTCCAGAACGGCTCGTTCATTTGAGCTGAAATATTTAGTTTCTTCCTAACTTTGTTGGATCTACCTACTGTAAAAAGATCAGCCAAATCGGTGAGATCGATTGAGCAAGCTTCTGCTGGGAGTGGTCGTGGCTTACACTGGGAAAAAAAAAGGTATCATACGAAACTAAAAAATGGTTTCGAGATTTGAAACGAATTCTGAACCATTTTTTAGTTTCGTACGAAAAAGGTTTCGTATAAGACTATTATTTTTTTAGATTAAAAAGGTTTCGTAGTCGATGCTTTGCATGGCGCTTCGTATGATATCGGCCAAAGATAAATTTACTGTCAATTCATTTTCTACAGAGCTCTCCCAACGTATATCCACACTTGAGAGACG